ATCGCTTTGACAATTAACAGATGAACCGAGACTTGCTTTTTATATCTATACTAATATTATAAAGAGGAAAGATGTGTATTTTTGTATGTAATGGATAAACTCAAAGAGTACTGGACCGATTTCAATAATACTTTTTTCATTAGAAAGCTACATTATCACTGAAAAACATAGGCTATATTTAGTACTTGATTGCTATAGGCATCTATAGAAATTTTTACTAAAACCAACGGAAGGCGTTAAAAAATTAGCCGTAAAATGTCTTTCTTCTTGACAAAAAAATGGAAGACAATATTATAGAATATATCAATATCTACAAAAAACACGCGAGAGCATAATATGTCTAAGTATTGTAGTTACGTCGCTATAACTACGTTTTTACATTTAACAAATTGATAGAAATGCCGATCAAAATCAGACCGTCTTATCCATTCCATTTATAATTTTTTATCCAAATAAACAATTTAATATTCAAGACTGTCTCAATACCTGATGATTACTTTTTTAATTATTGAAATCGGACATGCCATTCAAAAGATATCATGAAATAAAAATAAAAATACATGCCGGCGGCGGCCGCCACGCCGCTCATCGAGTAACTAATTCGACGATAGAGGGGCAGTGGGCTCCTTACCCAGTGGGCGCGAACGACATTGAATATTTCGAGTTTTTTTTATGCTTCACTTAAAAAGTTCTTTTCAAAGCTACTTAGTTTCAGTATTAGGAATCACACTTTGCATAATGTTTGTCAAATTTCTTTTCAGAACTATCGCTTTGAACTTGAATATTTTTTTGTATTATTAGTTTATTCTTAATTTCTCTGATTTAAATCAATCCAATCAATTTAAAAAAAAAGACAATCTTTACCAGAAGAAGTTATTCTTCCAAAACTAGGAAAAGTACCACATCCCCTAAATGGTTGCATGCGTTGCTTAGCTAGGCGGGAGAGGTCCTGGGTTCGAATCCCGGAGAAACAATAGATTTAAGTTGGGCAGGTCACAGAAGTCTGATCAATTACATGCCATTAGAAGAATCGATCAATAAAACGAACACAGAAATGATTACGCCCCATGTTCCACTAGGGAAAAACCGGATTTCACCTACGAACGCTCATATGCATTGACGAAAATATAAGTTGTTAATTCAGACCCATGAAAACACACTTTAAAAAACCAGACTTCCTTAACAAAATTACATAATAATATCCGATTACGTGCATTGACACATGACTTTACGTCATTTGTGCCCTCCTAGTGGATACTAACATAATAAACAGACATTTCGTTTGTTTGTACAACTTCAGTAAAACACTGTTATAATTCAGGACGCGAAATTTACTAGTTAACTTATATACAGTTTATTTTAACTATGTTCTGTCGTTTTGAATGCTTTACAGCAATCGGAGGACGACATTTCGCGTTTTAAACCGTTAAAAGTGTTTTAATTAAATATATACTACTCCCGTAAACTATACAGACAAAACTTGCTTTAAAACCCTTTTAAAAGTGTTATTTCTTTAAATAGATATAAATCGAATTGAAAACATCCACAAACTATATTACAGTTAAACAATAAATAAGTTACTCTACTTTAAATTATTTAATATCCATATAGCAAGTAACACCAGGAGACACTGCTAGCTTATTATAAAGAATTATCAAATTCCGCAAGCGACCAGTTTTGGTTTGTTTTGGTCGAACGGTAAACCCCATACGAACGTTTTGACGTCACACACTCGACCGTCGGCGTCGTAATCCGCGCATCTGGTTTTTCGTATATACCTGCGCAAGAACATAGGACAAATTATCTTGACGAAATTGCAAAATTTATTCAACTTATACGTCATTGGTAATGTTGTTTAACTCAATGGTTAGTGGTAGCAAACGTGTTTAGCGAGATATTACGAGAACTCCTGGGTTCGACACAATAAATTGTTTCGACCAGGTTGGGCGCAGAATGAAGATTAGCTGATAGATTTTATTTACAGAGGCAGTAAATTAACTTCGATCCCGAAATCGCATTTGCCGGTATTCGTTACCGGGAACTCTCGCGCTAAGACAATAATTCAGCTTAGAAAATAATATTAGATCTTTTCAAGTAGTTTAAAACTACCACCATTAAAATAGTGATGATAACGGCGTAACTAGGGTCTTGACCAAATTTTATAGAACAATCTTGGAACCGACGTTTGAATCTCTGAATTTTGCAATTAGCGTGAACTGAAAACTTATATAACAAGGATTATATCAATAATATTTGATACAAATTTGACATGTTTGTGCACCTGATGGCATTATACAAAATGGCCTGTCCTTTTAATATCGATTTTTAATTTAACATAAACATAGTCAACAATCTTCAATCAAATAACAAATTGCATTCCCACTCGAATGTTCTTATGTAACCAATATTGTAAATTCAGTTTATTTGATGACGAGAACAACCATTGTATGTTTTATCGCTTTTCATAGAATTTTACTTATTAGCTTTAGCCGCAAATGTCTAAATAACGTTATTGTGTATCTCACGTTTTATCACATATTTAGACTGAAACTCTTATGCAATAAATATATTGGAATCCTTCAGACAGAATACATCTATACTAATATTATAAAAATTAATAGATTGTTCGGGAACCGCTGCTTCAAATTGAAAAATATTTCACTCACTTCATTAACTCGGTCTAAGCTCTTTTAGCGAGCGTTGTCCAGCTGTGGGACCTTAATTGATTAAAAGGAGATGTAAACACTTATAAATTTTATGTATCATATTCCAAGTATTGAAAAAACCATAATAATGCATAAGTAGACTCACAATTACTCATAATAAATAAAAATGGGAATTACTTAGTTGACAGTTAGAATAATTGAAGTCCGCATTTTGATATATCCTGTTCGCAGTTTCCTCACTTCCTCGTAATGAGGGCAACCCTGAAATGTGTCGCACCCACTTGATTCAATAATAGCTAGGGTTGCTATTCTATTAAAATCTTCCTTCTATTGTCAAGTATTAAATATCTGACATATTTTAAGGTATTTCCGATTCAATTAAGTATGTTTTCCTGGGGCGAGATTGAAAACAAATATACGGATAAGTCGAATGTGGTTCGTGAGCCGATATACCTACCATCCATTTAATAGGTATATTACTAGACGAAGACATTTCAGTTAAAAATAAATTATATTTGATTAGAAAAATGTTGGATACACTAGAGATCTGCCCACGATCTGTTGATTATTAGCGATATATACTAACATTACACTAACAAATTTCGGAATTAATTCAATGTTAAATGACATTGAAATGTTAGTTTCACAGATTTTATTTCATGCCAAGGGATTATCAGTTTTATACGATAATTAATTAAGGATAATCCAAATCAAATTCGTGCCAAAAAACAAATACACAAATACTATTGTATGTATAATGTACATTTTAATCCATCTACTATGCCAAACGAAATAACATGAATGAAGTACAGATGTATAAAAATTGGAAATACAAACTTAACCGATATATATCTTTCCTGACCCTGTATTGAAATATAAGGTACTTATATTTGTAATCTTTTTAAGGTGAAATATATTACAACATATAGATAAGAACACAATTCCATTCATATGTAATTACTATATCACCCAAATTGAACGAGACTTATTTAACAAGTAACTTTTGCCATATATGTAGAGTCTTATCAAAAACCGTTCAGTAGATAGCGCTTGTGTATGACAAACATATATTTGCTACTTAATTTTTCAATCATCATGAAATTTTTGGTAGGTATATTTTTTACAGTTAACTACGCGTGATATGGCGACAGATATACGAGGTCGAAGGTTCGATGCCTATGTCATATTCATAAATTATCTCCTTTAAAATTAATTCTGATGACTGTCATAACAATCAAGGCATGAATCATAGATCAAGGTTAAAAAAGATCCCACAGGCTACATTAATAAATGCAGACTATACAATATTAGTAATAGAACAATTGTTGCATTATCTTATTACGATTTTAATTTATCTTAAGATTGTATATGTCTTCTCAAACAATTGAACAGGAAATTAATGAATTACTTAAAGATAAAATTATGTAAACATTCATTCAATAAAATACAATATAAAGACAACGAGTTGTCGATAAGAAATAACACCAAAGTAAATAAAAATATGTATGTTCTCAAAACTACCGAAAATAGAAAATTCAAAACTTTATTAATTCTCCCCAATTAAACTGTTATAAAATATAGCTATATACTAGCGTTATACTATAATAAAAAAAACGACAAGAATACAGAAGTAAATCTTTAAATATAAAAAATTTCTTATGTTTTTTCGATGGTACTAATACCATAGCCAATTATTAATAGGATTAAAATACACCTATTGAGTTGATATCAATCAATCTATCTAGCTTAAGAAGTCAATTGAGATATTTAATACTTTTAAGTAATTAAATATCCTAATAACATTGTTAATGATTGCTGTATACTACTAATGCTGGAGTACTAAGTATTATACTTTTCAAGTCTATTATTATTGTATTTCAACGTTAAATACATTGTTTTTTATTCTCATATCTTTTTAGGCACACAACGTTAACGTATTCCGCTGAAAATTTAAATTTCAAAAAACATAGTTATCCATTGCGCAGTCAGTTCGGGGCATTCCAAAACACGATGCACCAACCCCCGTCGCAAAGCGCACAGGATAATCTGTGGCAAAGGAGCGCAGCCGAGCCGCTGCTGTGACGCATGCGCGAAAGGAAAGGGTGGGAGGCGAACGACTGACACTATTTAAACTGTTCTTGCGAACGGTCACCATGCATTGGTCTGTTTGCAAGCAAAGTTTAGTTAGCTATTGTATTACGGCGGCTCGAGTCGTTGACAGACAGGCGAAAACAAAGCCCGTGGTCGTGACAGCCTATCGCAGACATAAGCTAGCTGAATACCGCGCAGTGAACCTCTCCGTTCAGGCCCCCTATATACCCAGTGTTGTGAACCATGGCCGTCGCAGCTGCACAGAAGAACCGCGAAATGTTCGCCATCAAGAAGTCCTACAGCATCGAGGTGAGCAAACTCCCTCGGAGCCGTGTCAGTGTTGTTGGTGCCCGGCTTCGGGGGTTCATTGTGCTTGTGGTCTCATTTCCATTCATCATCAGTGTTCGATTCCATTTTGAGTATCGAGAGGTCACGATTGCACGAAGTGCGATGATCCGGTGCACGAACTCCATGCACATCAGCGATATAATTAGCGTAAAATCCAACAGGTGCTTCGTTCATAACAATGCAGCATTAAGCTGACATAAGGAAGAAATCGTGTGAAAGTGATTATCGCACCGCCCAATTGTATGACAAAAGTTAACTCGCTCATTAAATATCAAACCGAGTACGTACCGCAAAGCTTTCACGTACGAACGTACGAAGTTCCGTAAACATATCAAAAAGTAAACCGAAATCGTCGAATCATCGAATGAATACGAAAATGGCGATCGCCGGGACGATAGCAAAATATTAATTAGTGTCATTATTGTAAATAATTTCCATTGTGGATATTCAAGGCATTCAGTACTAGAACCCAATTACCTCATCTTGACAATTATGATTGTCATTTGCATAATTTCAACGGCTTATCAATCCTTTTGACGCTCATGCGAACTGCGATGTAATTAGGTGTGTATTAAAGAGTATCTGAGGAGATGTAATTGTGCTTTAATTTGGTCCTACTGGTTGTAAGCGATGCGACGTTCTGTCATTTAACAAGTGCTGTGCGAAAACCCGATAGTCTAACAAGGCGTTGATTAGCGTACGTTTTATAATTGGTACTGAATGCATTTCCTTGACTATAGAAGGTCGGTGTGTGTGCTTTTACGCTCACTCCGTTACGCCGAAACGGGTAGATCGCGAAAAGAATCTGGCGCCCGTCGAATTGCAATCGTAAGAACTTTGAATTCCGTAAAACTTAAACAAGGTTCCGCCCTTGACCAGACGTGCGTCGCGGTCAGTAAAATAAAAACTTAGAGGTTACGCTAATCGGAAATTGTCCGGTAATAATTGCGGGTGGAAAAAATGACAGTCAAGTGTTTGTCCGGTTCAAAGTAATATTTGGTACAGACCCTAGTACGAGTATCCTCAGCAACATTACTAAGCTTCAGTTAGGTGTATTTATTACGTGACTTATGAATGGAATGTCTATCGAGATGCGTCCTAAAGTAGAAATTATTTGCCATGAATTTTGAACCTGTTAGAAAAATGTTGACGTGATTAAATTTAATCCACCAGTTGAACCAACAATTTTAGCTGCAAAAAATACCTTGATGACTACACCAAAAAAAAAAAAAAATAACTTTCCCTTAAATAATATTTGTAGGAAAATACTATTACTTAACAATAAAACTCATACTAGGGGTATGAAAAGGGTCGGTGTGCGCTCGTGTTAATTGCTATACGATTGGAATGGTGAAGTGACTCGGGGACCAAGGCTGCAGCAACCGGATTCTCAAACCGCTCCAGTTAGGCGGACCTTTAACTTGAACACACTTCCGCAATTACAGCTCTTACGCGTTAATCAATTGAGGGGCTATGGACAATAGAATTAGCGTTACTAATATAGGTCGGCAACGCATCTGTGCATGGAGTATTTCATCTCACATCATGCTCGTCTGTCCTCTGTCATAGGAAAACGCTTATAGATCATACTATGATAAGACAAGACACAAACACTAGTTCCACAAAAAACACTAACTATTTAAATATTATTTATACAGTCGGTAGTCCCGAATTAATGAGTTTATTCAAAAATACAAGTTTACAAGTTCTGATAACGAGATATCTTAAAATGCAATTAGCTTTGTTTGTATGGCCTTGTAACTGCGAAATAATTCAGAAGCATTCGTCACAAAATTAACATTAATTCACATCAGGCAAGAGGTCAGGTTCATACTAGACGAGCATAGAATCATTATAGACTCAGGCGCACACTCAAGGTCTGCGATCAAGGGATATAGACGGACAATAAATCGTTAAAACATTAACGGCAGCATAACCTAGTTCTATTAATCCTAAGGCTACGTGAATTATAACAAATAATAGCGGATAGCTAAAAGTAGACAATTTAAATTGTCACAGTTCGTTTTAACGTAACTAGATTTAAATGCTGTCTGCAGTTTACGCGACTAGGACACATTTACATAAAACACTTTAACGGTTTAAAACGCGATAAATATTATATAAATTATTTAACCACCAACGCGGTAAAGCTGCAGCAAAGCATGCGAAGCGACGGGTCGTAGTCAAAAATTATTTGTAAACAACTATAACTAATATATTTCGCGTTTTAAACCGTTGAAATGTTTTATTTAAAGATCTAGTTTATCAACTGTATTTAAGTGTACAGCTTTCAATATGCTTAGTTAGAAAACACTTCGAAAAGTTTTCCTACCCTACGATTACAATCTTATAAACAAACCTATGATGTAGATCGAAGATTCTATTGTACGTTGCATCAAACACGTAATTAAATCTAGACTTATCTTAAAATCAATCCGTTACGATTATCTTTATAATCACGTAAACAAAGATTTGTAATCCATTGTGCTATTTGTAGCTAGTACGTTTTACTACGTCGCGTAAATTAATAGCAGTGGTAATAAATAATTACTTATGTATTGTTATATCATCTAAAGTAATCAAATGTAAATGAATCAATTAATACATTTCCCATAGTTAGATGAATCAATTCTATCACCGCAGATTCTAGCAGGTTACTCGTATGTCAATATTAATATTGTGTAATTTATCGTCGTGTTTTATTTCGTGGAGGGCAGTTTTGTAAAAGACAGCGGCTGCTTTAATCAAATAGGATTGATATCGTTGTAATAGAACGAGTTTTTCAAATTTCAGACAGAATATTAAACAGGGAAGTTTTATAAAAATAAGTCTAACTACCCTTATATTTCATCGTCTTCAAAATTCCGTTTGAACAAAACTAAACATTTTAGCGTGTAGGTAGAATGTGACGTGTTAATAGCGATAAATTATTATTATTATTATGAGTTTCAATTAGATTAAACTACTAGTTACCTAGTCACTATTAAGTACCAATAATTAATGGCATAAATTAAAAGCAGTGAAAATTTTACATAAATATACAAAAACAAAACGGATCAATTTTTAATATATTTTCCGTCGTTAAAAGGATTTAATTCATTAATAATTATTATTTTTCATTATATTGCGTATAACTTTTTAATAACACTATCAATCAATAAACGTAGCTAACGCGTATGTTTAGTTACTGTTCGATTTTCGATTCGATGATCAAAATTTACAAATGCCATAAACGATAGTTAATTTTGTTAATTTCAAAGGGAGTAAGAGAAAGAAAAGAGAAAAATACTCCATACGATATTTCTTTGTCTATTCGAAATACGGCAAACGTGTATAATTTTCGTAGTAAAGGGTTTGAAAGTTTGAATAAATACAATTTCCGTACCAATAACGAGTACTTATAGGAGAATATGCGCACTTCCATTAATTTTTACTTATAAGATGTTATAAATATTGCGTCGAAATATTAGTGAGTTTTATCATTCTTATCGGAGTAGATCACGTTCACCTTTCAACATACAAGTTAAAAACTACAGGTCAGAAATATTACACAAAAATGATTTTTGGATTCGAGGAGACGATGTAAAAGACGTTTCGAGTCGCCAATTCACCCGACTTAATACGATAGAACACCTTCGCAGAGTTTCAGGGGCTAGGTGAGTGATTACGAACCCTTGACACAAAAACGGAGCCACTCTAATGGAAAACCCGAGATTTTCGCGTTCAGTGCCATCCTACATCTTTGCATGCATCATTACGATTTAGAGACGCGACTGACATAAGTGTTCAAACAATACCTAATTCATATAGTATTTCATAAAAATACAGGCAACAAATATATACGTGTATAACAAACAGTTTCTAATCTTGGTATTCTAAAATTAAATTGGGCCATTTCAGGCCACGAATACTTTTGCAAACCAAGGTAGATACAAAAGCTTTTTGATAACAAGTAGATGTGATCTATTAAGTATTTAAATTATCTCTTCAAGCAGAATAAGTAAAATGTCTAATACGAAATATAGAACATTGTTGATGTGTTTTTGGCTTAGGACATTAGATAGCAGTATTTTAAAACAAACATTTCAATTACACAAAAAATGTTCCGTATGAAATGGGCTAGCTCTTCCTGGGATTATACGAGACAAGAAGACTCTTCGCAGAAACGCTAAATAACGTACCTATATATTTTTTACCTGCTCAAACGTTATATTACTATCAACATAAAATATTGTATTTCGTTCAATCGGCGCCTGTCTGTCTATAGAGTACATACTATATAAAACGTTAGCTTAGTTAACACCCTTTTTGGTAGATACTGATTTTGGTACCGTAAACTATAGATGTGTGTGTTTGGAACGTAAGTTTTTCACTTAGCTCTATTCAACTAGATACAGAAATAATTTTCAATCTGTATGTAAATCATACCACAAAGAAGTCAATATATGAACATAAAAAAGCCACGTTACTTTGATGGGTTTTTCAGAAGATAAAGGGAAAGGACAGTATCACTATTAACATAGATTTAAAATTCAGTAATTTTCATTATAAAATTTATTAGTAAACAATAATTGAGAAATGCCAATTTTCATTTATATTTTACCATTAAATTATCATTAACAGGGTTCAATTTGTCGAAACAACTGTATAAACGATAAGATAATCTACAGCGTGTTCAGGAAAACTAGACAGTGACACTGGTTATTACATAATAATTACTAGAAGGAAAAAGACAGCTAAGGTCAGCACGAAATCGCTTAGTCGGCATTGATAGAACTTTTTAAGGAAAAATTCTGTTTTCTGTCCTTCGTGATACAGTGTTGCATAAGTTGTTGATTCCGGTTAAAATTGTATACTATTAAAAACTTGGAACAGTGCTCCAGTTCGACAAATAAAAATAACAAGAATTAATTCAACGGTTTATATCGAAAAAGGTAATTTAAAAAGTCACTTGTAAATAAATACAATTAAAATTAATGCTATATCTAATATAAAACTAACTACATTCTTCAACAGACAAACTTAATGTACTTAATGTATAATATTGTAAATGTTAAATAGTAGGTTAGTAGACAATAAAAATAAGACTTTAAGTTACTAATTGCCTACAAAGGCTATCCGCTTTCGAGAAATTCCATTTCTCGAATCCTTAAAGAGGATTAAAATATCAATAGCGATGGTAAAATTTTGCGACGAATCAATACTCCGATAGAAATCCAATAAACGTGAACCCTCGTGTAGAGGGTGTGAGCTAATGTGTTCCTGGACAATTACACTGTCAAATCAAACGTCCTCAGCAGATTTGGGGCAAGCACCATCAAGTCTAGTGCTCCAACTAGGCAAAAAGCCTGACATTGATTAACATGCAATTAACCGATGATTAAAATATATTCGGTAAACTTACCAACTTATAATCAAGGGCTTAATCAAAGTTAGTTAACTACGTTATATATTCAAATAAAATATATACAAATATAGTATTGGATACGTAATGTGTTTTCGCAATAGATAAAGTCTTATTAGTAATAAAATAAGATTGTAAAATAATAATACTCTAACCGAATTTTGACACTTCAAATTCTACTAAATTAATCGAGGCAATATACTAAATAGTTTAATAAAAAAAAAAACAATTTTCAACAATATCTAAACTGTAATTAATTTGATTTAATTCTGTCCAATTTTCTTACTAATTAGTAATCCAAAGGTTTCCAGTATTAATTAGTCATCTTGTGATTGTTTGCATTTTTAATTGATTAATTAAAACAATTGCGATAAAAATCTGTTGATTAGCTTAATTACCAACAATGTTGCAAAATTGTTTAATGCGTGTGCATCCTTAGAGTCCCGTTTATCACGACGAGAATGACGTGAAAATTCTATATATTCTATTTTACATTGTAGTTTGAAATTGGGCCGTAATGCGAGCAATTTGCAACAGCAAAGGCTTAACGTAGTATAAAGCGATAATTGGTTCCATTGTCGTGCAGTGGTCCAGAAAATTCCTCTCCTTTGTAAGACTCCATCTCGAATCACTCGACGTGTATCCGGAATGGAACGGCAGCACTTTAACTCCGGCCACGGAGGAAATAAGCTTAGGAACTTCGTAAAAGCAATCCTTACTCGCACATGAAATATAACGATGAGACCACTTTATATTTATAAGGCTTATGCTAGAAGCTGGCTGCCTTTGTGATGCGGAATTTATTGTGCTTTTATTACTAGTTTGCGGTGATTTAAGGCGGGGTGCTCCAACTATACTTAAAAGGTCGGAAGTAGATGTTGAAAATGTGTTAACTGTGAAATGACGCGTTTGAATTTTACGTTTCGAATTCTCAATTTTGATTTAGCATTCGGATTACTTATATCAAGTATTTATCGTAAAGTTTAAAAAATAACATTTTTAACACAAACGCACAATGTTAGTTGTTGATTTAAACTATGACTTGAAGTTTCATACATTAACATCTTATTGGCTTAGTGGTTAATGTTATTTTCTTTTTGTTCTAGAACGGCTATCCATCTCGCCGTCGATCGCTTGTGGACGATGCGAGGTTCGAAACACTTGTGGTAAAACAGACCAAGCAAAGCGTTTTAGAAGAGGCTCGCGCCCGCGCTAATGGTTAGTCAAAACAATCATTTTTATTTCCTTTGTGTTGTTTTTTGTTTCTTTTTTTAATTTTGTTTTGTTACGTTCTATTAGACTCTGGCTTGGAAACAGATTTTATCCAAGACGTCGTTCATCTAAGCAACGGTGACAAAACACCAACCGTTGAAGACGGCACTCAGCAAGACGAAACAAAGAACGGTCAGCTCGGTAATATATACGAATTGATTTTTTGTTGTTTATTTTTTATTTTCTTTTTCGTTTTATTTATTTTCGTTTTTTTTTCTTTGTTTATAGCAGATGTCGATATTGACGACGACGGAGGAAAGAAAGATGAAGGTCAGTAAATAAAATACGCATTTTTTTTGCAAATTACTACATGTTGAGTTATATAAATGTAAACATCCGCATCCTTTGTATGGAGAAGTGAACAGACACATTTTTGTGGCTAAATACGAGACAGTTAAAGCTACAGAAAACACGTTACAGGCCCACTGAATTACCTAAAATAAATCACTTACCCCAGTTTTATGTTCGATTTTCAAGTTAGTGTGTTCACTGAGATAATTTTTACAGACTATACTCTGACCGAAGAAGAAGTAATCCTCCAGAATGCTGCTAGCGAGAACCCTGAAGCTGAGAACGTTATCCAGAAAGCGGCTCTGTTACTTCGTATGCGGGATGGCATGGGCTCTCTCGCTCGCATCCTTAAGACCATCGACAATTACAAGGGCTGCGTCGAACATTTGGAAACTAGACCCTCCCAAGCTGGAGGTATTCAATTCGACGCCCTTGTAAAAGTGAGCATGACCCGAAACAACTTGCTTCAACTCATCAGATCGCTGCGTCAATCAACATCCTTCGCCGGCGTGAACCTGCTATCTGAGAACAACATCTCTAACAAGACACCTTGGTTTCCACGACACGCCGTCGACTTAGACAACTGCAACCACCTGATGACCAAATACGAACCGGAACTGGACATGAACCACCCTGGATTCGCTGATAAGGAGTACAGAGAGCGTAGAAAGCAGATCGCCGAAATCGCCTTCGCTTACAAATATGGAGACCCCATCCCCTTCATCTCTTACACTGAATCTGAGAATTCCACCTGGCAGCGAGTGTTCAACACTGTCTTGGACCTGATGCCTAAGCACGCCTGCAAGGAGTACAAAGCCGCCTTCAACAAGTTGCAAGAGGCTGATATCTTTGTGCCGCACAGGATCCCTCAGTTGGAGGATGTAAGCAACTTCCTGCGCAAGCACACTGGATTCACGCTCCGCCCAGCTGCCGGTCTCCTTACAGCTCGCGATTTCCTGGCTTCACTCGCTTTCCGTGTATTCCAGTCGACCCAATACGTGCGCCACGCTAACTCTCCATTCCACACACCCGAACCGTAAGTACTACTTTAGTACTAAAATATTTCACAGCATTATCTTTAAATGTAAATCAATTTTTATTCCAATAACTGGCTATTAATGCTTGTCAGTCCCCTGAGTGTCGATATAGTGGCACGATGGAATTGTAACAAAATTAACAGCCCCGTCTCGCCTAATAATTTTAACACAATTCAGGGCTGTGCTGTAAATGTCATCTGGAAAAGTTATAACGCGTTTTTGTTGAGAAATATTTCTAAAATAGTACTTCCTAAAATATACATAAAAGGGATAAATACAATTTAGAAAAGGGCCGAGTGGTATCTTTTGGGACCTACCCTCCGCATATGGGCTGATGATGATAATAAGTCTTATAACATAATTCTTTCTTTCAGTGACTGCATTCACGAACTTCTTGGTCACATCCCACTATTAGCCGACCCTAGCTTCGCTCAGTTCTCACAGGAAATTGGACTCGCTTCTCTTGGCGCTTCGGATTCGGAAATTGAAAAGCTATCCACTGTAAGTACATGTTCAGAATAAATGTGTATAGATGCAAACTTTTTCGCCTAGGTACAGTGAGTGACAATGGATTTCATTGTTTCAGGTCTACTGGTTCACAGTTGAATTCGGTTTATGCAAAGAGAACCAACAATTGAAGGCATATGGTGCCGCTCTTCTGTCATCAATTGGAGAACTTCTTCACGCCCTAAGCGACAAACCAGAACTGAGACCATTCGAGCCCGCGTCCACATCTATTCAACCCTACCAGGACCAGGAATATCAGCCCATATACTACGTAGCTGAGAGCTTCGAAGATGCCAAAGAAAAATTCAGGTACCTTTCAAACACGACTTGCGCTGTACATGTTGATATTATAAGCATATACTTTAATTATTATAAGCAGCATCGTAATAATGAATAAGTAAACTAAGAGAATACTTTGATCTATAGACGCTGGGTGTCCACCATGTCACGACCCTTCGAAGTCCGCTTCAACCCTCACACAGAGCGCGTGGAAGTCCTCGATTCAGTCGACAAACTGGAGACCCTAATCTGGCAACTGAACACCGAGATGCTACACCTAACCAACGCCATCAAGAAGCTCAAAAGCACGCATTTCGAATAAACGACGACCAGCACAGACCGGTGTACAGCTAGTGATATCGTAGATGTAAGAGTGTGGAGCGTGCCTGAGAGAGTGATGACCATTGGATGGTACTTCGTTCGTTCGTTCCTTCGTTCGATCGTTCGCTGGCACGTTCGTTCGTTCGATCGCACGTTCTATCGTTGAATTCCTTTTGTACCTTATTATTTATTATGCCGAGCTCATTGCCCGGGCCTCGGTGGCGGCGCGTCCCCCGATTGCCCATTTAAGGAGACGCCGCTAACGCGAGACCTTATTTCTATTAGTATTAATTTAACTTAACACAAAGAATGAAAAAAAAAATGGAGCACCAAAAAATTGTAAAAATCAAACAGAAAATATATTATATAATGTTTGAGTGGATCGCTGTTGTTTTATTTCGTGGCGTTAGATAATCGTCGTTGACGTAGTGTCAGCAAGGCCTTTGACTCGCCGTTAATTATAACTGCGTTATTGTCGATTGAGTACAAGAAGGGCGATAATATACAGTCAAAGCGGCATTGAATAACTAGGCTCTAATTATTCATCATAATCGTTATAAACGGCTCTGTCAGTATAAGTTCATTGTGTAAACGCAATGTTTTCTCAAAGAATCTTATGGAATAAATGAAAAACTCCAAGAGCGCAACAATCGCGTAAAAAACAGAGATAAACGAACGCACAACAATTATTTTTAATGTCCTTTTTATCCTTCGAGATAATACTCGCTGTACAAAGAAGCAAATATATTTTAAGAGCAGATTGTTTTAAGATAAAAATGAGCGCAATATGAAATTTGAAGGAATTTAAAATGAAAGAGACGTGGAAAGCAATCATTTTATTCTGAAGACTGTGACTTAATAAGATTTAGACTCCCAATGGAATCCGTTCCGATCGGACTTAATTACCTGCGACAATTTTAGCGCGCGTATTGAAATATTAAATGAATCGATCACATTTACACATAAATAAAACGCTTTGAACATTTTAAAACGCAATATATTTTAGTTTACTTAATTTATAACCGTCAAAAGTCTTTAATTTAAAGTGATTAGTAGCGTAAACTACGGATAATGAAATCCTCGCTAAATTCAAAAATAGAATATAATTAGATTTATTACATAGTTAAAACTTTCCTTCGGATTTTAAAACAATATATAATATAACACTTCGTCACCATGATTACGTCCTGTGAAAAATGAGGTCAACATTTCTATAGATCATTACGCTCGAAGTTAAAAACCCACGCTACTTGTACAAGGCGCTTCCTCATACTAATAATTTAATTAGATTTATCTAGAAAATTCTAAAGAACAATGTGTATTTAAAAAGTTAGCTTCAAGGGTACACGGTTCTTTCGTTCTTCCAATACGTGTAAACGCGCCCGTCTCTTATCACGTTCGCCCTGAAACCGAACCGAGGACTTAACGCAAAGCGGCGCGTTAACGTAGCGCAGGCGCAGCCGTTCTAGCATCAGCATAGTAACAATCCATCATGAAATAAGGTTAAAAAAATCGAACTTGTATATTGACATTAAATCGAGAGGCACGACCTCACTAGTTACAAGGGCGCTGTACAAAGCGTTTTATTCAATTCAAGTCCATTATATCCTTTCAATAACGCATACTGATTTTGAAATCGAGCAGGACATAACGTTAATTGTTTCAATATAGCACCACCTCTGATTATGAACGAATCGCGATTTTAATACCAATATTATTAATAAAATACACCTTCAAAAATTATCAAACCTTTTGAAGGCTTTACAACAATCGTCGTAGCTACTAAAAGCAATGTTTTCATGTATTACGTGTTTTGAACCAATAAACGTGTTCTAGTTGTGTACAATTCGATTAAATTACATTTTACAGACAATACTAAAATAAAAATATGTTTATTATAATGACAATTTTCGTAAACTTAATTAGAGTTAACTTGTGTACGTTTAAGTAAAGCCTGTATCAAAACTACTTGCTACTTCTTACATAATAAAGAAAACTTTATTTCGTTAATAAATACGAAACTAGAAATAATTGCCCAGTGCTCTTGTTATATATATTTAGAGCGATATTAAGATACTAATACTGTTTTTTTCCAGTTAAATTATCTTTGAGATATATTATTTTTACACTTTACAATCAAGAAAAGGACGTCTTTCAAAACTGTTTGTTACGCGTAAATACTGAAACACGTGAACGAATGTCATACGAAATGCATTAAAATAAAAATACGTTATTTTCAAACAGGTTGACATTATCGTTAAATAGTTGTGTCGAATGCTATTTACAGTTAATACAGAAGGGACTGAATTTGGAATTCGGGACGACCCGCCAAAATCTGGACTGGTCTATTTACAATATTGACTATCGGTACATATGATTCCTATTGCTTTATATTGTTTTTAGGCCACATTTTGCAATTTACTAAACATGTATAAGGAACTAGGAAACGCGAATTGATATCGGTCTGTCAGTCATTACAGAGTTACCTTGAGTGTTATTTAATTTTTTTGCTTCATAAGTAAATGATAATTATTGTCCGGAACATAAAAATTGTAGTTACCTCGTGTGACTAATGTAGATTAAAAATAATTTTATGAGGGTATTTATTAAACCTTTTTCTACTTAGTTTCAAAGTTAGTTGAACAGAAATGCGAATAAAAAATCTTGGTCAAGGCCGAACACTTTTTACCTTAACTTGGATCTGGATCATAAAATTGTAATCTATACTAATATTATAAAGCGAAAAGATTTGTATTTTTGTATGTAAACTCAAAAAGTACTGGACCGATTTTAATAATTCTTTTTTCATTAGAAAGCTACTGTTACTATTATCCCTGAGTAACATAGGCTATATTTAGTACTCAATTACTATAGACATCTATAGAAATTCGTACTAAAACCAACGAAAGGCGTAAAAAAATTAGCCGTAAAATGTCTTTCTTCGCATACGCTGCAAAAAGTATTAATGATAGGACAAAAAATGTTAGACAATATTATAGAATATATCAATATCTACATAAAATATCTCGAGAGCATATGTCTGACTATTGTAGTTACGTCGCTTTAACTACTTTTTTACATTTAACAAATTGATGGAAATATCCAAATAAATTTAATATTCAAGACTGTCTCAATACCTGATGATCACTTTTTTAATTATTGAAATCGGACATTCCATTCAAAAGATATCACGTTAAAATAAATTATTGTAACTGGGTATAGCCGTTTTAATTGTTGTAAATAAATAAATAAATAAATAAAAATGCATGCCGGCGGTGGGCTCCTTACGCAGTGTTTAACTCGTTATTAAAAGCATCAAAAAATAATTTATACAATGCATTGGGATGCATATTGGTGTCTAAAAATGGAATTGTATTACAGAGCCCAACCCTCATTCGTTCCAAGCGGTCACGTGTTACCGGTCTACATATTATGTTACGTTTTTAGGCTTTTCCTTAGCCATTTTGAAAACTGCTAATTGCCCGCAATGGTCTGAATCCAGCTTATTACTTAATACTCCTACTTTCTGGCAACCTATCGCTATATATATTATCTAGGCACGTAGCTGTAGTATCACAGTATCTCGTAGGCTCCAAAAATACGTTTCTAAGGTTATATGATTTTAAAATGTTATGCATGTGAAAAATATTAGTGTTCAATCAAATCAAAGTATTTACATCTTCAATGATTTTCTTAAGTTGCAAAGCTTAAGACATTGAATCTTATCTCGCAAGTATTAAGGATGAAATTACATTGCACAAAAGTGCATATATCAATGGCTTGAAAAATTTCGACGATGATACGGTCACGATAGAGTCACAGCACGGAACGCTGGGGATGATGGTTTAATTCCTGCCCGTATCGTAAAACTTATTTCAACCTACATTAGTTTTTAATTTATATAACGCAATCATGTGCAATATTATGTGAAGAAGTTAAAGATTTCAAATGTAATTTTTTTTTATGCATTACACCATTAGTTATATAAATTTGGTCTCCCCCTTCGAGGCATGGGGCGAACAAAATTCTGGCTACATTTCACTGGTCGATTTTATTTATATTCAAGTAGTTGATCAGACTTCATCACACAGATCCTCGTTCGTAACCGTGTGACGTCAGTCTAGTATAAACTATATTATAGCATACCCTAAATCCATTCGTGCTGTCATCGGATTTAAAACTACAAGTCGTAATTCAAACAAGACTACTTGTGCCATTAATAAACTAAGAATGGTCAAAATTGGTTCTATTTTTCACAAGTATAAGTCAAATCTAATCTTACGTCATTTCCGCTTCGCACTCCTCGTTGCTTGAAGTTATTGTCCGTGTTCGTCTAATGATGTGTACCCGACCTTTAACTGTAATTATTGACGACAGAAAATATTGGGGAGAATGCCTTTTCGTAGACTAACTCGTCAAATATTTATAAAAAAATGACCCTTTCTCTACGTGAGGAAGACATCAAGATGTCTAACCACTAACTTATTAAATCAACAGACGTATAACTTATCAATCAAATCGAGAGGCATATTATGTTGATAATTTATTCTTCAACCCAACTATTATTATGATTTTTCGGGACCTATAACACAATGCTAACCATTTAGACACATAGGCTGGATTATAAAATTTAATCTACAACATAATATAATTAATAGGTTGGTAATATGTAATTACGAAATCAATAGTTCTTAGTTTATTTTTTCATTATTAAATTTGTACATATCATTGTTGTATGTAATATAACTATAATATAATGAAATTTTGTTTTGTCTATAATTTACACAAGTGATTTTAAATGTCTATATTTGATATCACTGGAAACGCATCCAAAACATCAGAGTTAAAAATATATATCACGTTTTAAACCGTTAAAAGTAATTCACGAACATACGCTATAAATTAACAAAGCATATCTTGGCAATATGTTTAGTTATTTTTACAAGTAATTATAAGGATTTTATTTTCTACTAGATTCCCTATCTGGTCCAAGTTTATCCGTGTTTGAATGTCAAATCGATATTTTAAGGTCGATCTAAACGAGTTCAAGGTAAAGGGCAATTTCTCCAATTACCCGGTCAAAGTCATCACTTCCCGATTCACTTAAGCAAGAGCGCGCTCGTTAATTTTATTCAGCAAGACTCAAAGCGGACATAACTTCGTTGCGTCGGACTTCAATATAACTTAACTAGCTGTGCCCGCGATTTCGTCCGCGCGGGATAATTGTTTTTAACATTATATTATTTATTTTTGGAAGCAACCTCGTCGGTCATTCTTGTAAGTTAATCTTAAAACAATTTTTTAGATCACTTAAAGTAGAACCATTCTTTCATATTATTTAGGTTTTTTGAACCGCTTTCGCAACGGCTCGCAACGCCTCTGTGTCCTTGGTCCTATTGGACGCAGCATGATGTTTTATAGCCTAAGCCTTCCTTGAATAACTAACACAAAATATATTTTTTCAACTCGAACCAGTAGTTCCTGTAAAAACTACTAGGTCATGTCTACCGAAATGAAAAAGAGACTTATCAAACTAAGAATTACGTAAATAAAAACGCCGATGATCAGTAAATAACGATAAAATTTATTAGCCCACGTTAGAGTCCAGTGCGATAAAGTTTAATACAAAAATAACTCAGAAGTGAAAGAGACAAACATATTCCCTATAACCTTATTTAGGAAGTAACGCTAATAGAAGTTTCAGCTGTCAGAATTAGAAGTTCATCAATCGCAGGTGCAGGTCGCCATATTGATTTCACAAGGGTCCTCTTCGTTCGCCAATATGACCGCATAACTCGATTTCAGAGATGCAATCTGATTTTGAAGAGTTCGCAACCGAATTTCAACCATGTCAAAGTTCTCTTGCAGGTTCGTTACCTGTATCTGCATTCGCTGACGTATCTGAAAGGTATTGTCTGTATCAATACTGGTCTTAAGGTTGAAATTACATGGCGCAAGAGTTGCATCAACACAGTAGCTCAATTGGTTAGAGCAACAGCACGGAACGCTGTGGATGGTTCAAGTCCTGCCGGAGTCGTAAATATTTTACACTTATTTTTGATTTTTCAATTGGTATTTTATGGAGTTTACGAGCACACATTGAAATAAAACGGTATTAAACGCGAAATATATTAGTTAACTTTTTTACAATTTATATTAACTAAGGCGAGATGTTTGGAATGCTTTGCAGCAGCAGTCCCTCTGTGACCATGATTGCACGAATTACTCGTGGGAAAATTGAAGGAATCGATTTTATCTTCGATGATATTCCGATTTTAATGATGTTAACTTCGCATCAATTATGTCAACACAAAATGTCACAGAATAGATACGATCTGCGTGATCGCAAATATAATCTGTGCAAAGATCTATACAAATAATTGAGTTGTCTGTTTGTATTAAGGTATTTTTGATAGTTTACTACTGAAAATATTTCATTATAAACGTACAATTCTTATTAGGGAGTAACGTAACGCGTTACGCCGTTTGACTTTCAATATTAATAGACAAATTCAATTTATTTAAGTGATCATTTCTGCCGGCCGTTCCGAGACGAAAGCGTACGATGATTTTTGTCCGTATTTCCTAAGTACTGGTAATATTTCTGTGCACTGCGTCATTAGAAGCGATTCTAGATAGTTAAATTTTCTTTTCAATAAACATTGTCTCTAGTTAACCTTTGACAGTTTAAAATGACGAAGTTAAAAATAAGTTAAGTTATATACTTAAAATTTTTATAATTCGAAGTATTAACATTTTTATTAGCCGCCAATAAAATAGCGTAACACACGAACAACATTGACCGGGTTCTTTGACAAGTTGATGATAATTAAGCGAGGTCCTTTTATGATAAAATTTATAGATTCTGTCTTAATTTTGAAAATCGTTTCTACAACCATATCGGGTTTAATTAACCACCACTACTGTTTCCTTAGGGATTCCAACCTTTCCTCTTAACTCTACAACTACAACTACACAACTACAGCACAACAGGGTAACAAAATAATTAAGTCTTCCGCATCTTCCATTCAACTATACGTATATAGAATGCTAGTGTTTAATATAGTTATTATAGATAAGATAAAAAAATAGGTAGGTAAATATCCAAAGCCAAAAGCGGCGCAACTTGTTCAGATGTTAATGGCTGAGGTATTCCACTTCACATCAACTGAGCCCTTGCTTGTTTGCCATAGTCTATCATTAGAACCAATACGAAAAATATTCTTTTTTTAAATACTGTCTGTAGTATACGCGAGTAGTAAACACTTAAATGAAACACTCTAACGATTTAAAACGCGATATATATTAGTTAAAGGAGTAGTCTTACCGTGACCACGGTTGCTGCAAAGCGTCCGAAACATCGGGCCGTAGTTAAAATAATTTTTAAATAAACTTAACTGATACATATCGCGTTTTAAACCGTTTTAGTGTTTTATTTTAATCTTCTCTTTTACCTAACAAAGACGATATTTTTCTCATCACTATTCATTTAAGTTAAATGTTATTAATTTCATATCTAAGTCAAACTTACATCGTCTCTCTCTTTGAGGCAAGCGCGACACTGCGCTCTGCTCTGGATTAACTGCCTTTCGAGCTCCGAGATCTGGGTCTGCATATATCTTCTCATCGACTCCGATCGTTCCCTGGTCTTGGCGGCTGCGCGTGAGCTCTCATTTCTACACTCGTCGATCTCCTTCAAGAAATTCGCGCATTCCGTCGCCTTCTCCTTGTAGCGGGCCTCTAGATGGGTTAACTTTTCTTCCAAACGCAGCACGTTGCATCTGTAATTTAAATTATATGTAATAAAAATAAACATTGGGTTTGAACGCCGGGAAAAAGTGGTAACTGAATTTAATTAGGAAACAAGACTGTAATTAAAACTAACACAATACGGACACAGAATCGTGACTGTCCTATGCGGAAGACGAGATTTAACGCACAATATTTAAACTTTATCTTTAATTGAGATTCTTACCGCGGTGAATAACTTGCTAGGCATTTTTAGGCCTCCTAGAGTATCAAATGCAATAAAAAAGTGTCCTAAATATTATCAAAGAAATTACAATACCTTGCCTTTTGCCTTTCTACTAACACTTTATGAAATGGTAATTAAGTATTTTTTTTAACATTATTATGAATTAAATATTGTCTGTTGTTTACGCGAGTAGTACTCGTTTGAATAAAAAAAGTAGCGGTTTTAAACGCGATATATTGTCGTTATACGTCCGACGTTTCGGATGCTATCTCCTCGTAGGTAACGACGACTGCTGCAAAGGCAGCTTTGCAACGTAAGGTCGTAGTTAAAATTATTTTCAAATAAGTTTAACTAATCGCGTTTTAATACGAGTAAAGGAAAATGTTGTTTGTAGAATTTTTCAGTTCGTAAGAACCACCCTTGTGCTTTATGAAATTTTCTTAAAGAATTAGCGAACTCGGTTCGGTTTTCACAAGATTTACGCTTACTAAATTTAGCGTTTTTATTTTTTGCTAGTACAATAGGATAGTCCACAAATTAGATAAATCAAAGCAAATTAATAGTTATCCTTTTTAGATTCAGATATATAAAAAAAAATTAAGTTTAGATTAAAAATTTAAAAAAAACGTAACATATTTTATTAACACCATTATGTGATACCTTATGCCGCACTATGTACATTTGTATAGTAACATTCTGTTCTGAAACTTACTTTAAGTCATCGACCGCCCTATTCAAATCTTCCACTTCCATCCGTTTTTCTTCCAAATCCGACTTCACAGCCTTATTTTCATCTATCAATTTTGTTCTCTCCGCTTTCTCTTGGTTTAAATTGCTTACGGCGATAACGAGCTGAACATGAATAATAATATATACACACTACTTTCACAGTACACACTACCTAGCAAATCTTCTTTGGTATTTCGATCAAAATTTGATTAGTTCTTGTGAGTTTATCTTAAGATATAGATAGAACACCTTTTTTAAATTAAAACCTCTATCAGCAGCGCAACCTTATTGCAACGCACGCAACGAAAGCCTACAATGATGAATAGTTTTCCTCGTTTATTCCACATCTTCCACTGTCGACAACTGAAGACAAAAATATATTTTCAATTCGAACCAATAGTTCTTGAGATTAGCGCAAACAAACAAACTCTTCAGCTTTATAATATTAGTATAGATATGCAGGTAAGTTTAGACTGCTTCCGTTGTGAAATATGTAAGTGAATTACCTAGTGCTGTAAGCAGGGATACTGGGTTCCGATCCCGGAAGACAACAAATAATTCAGTCGGGCTATCGTGTTTTGCATGTTAATCAAATTGAACTGAGAAACAGACACATTGTGTGCCCAGCGTATACCATAGCATGCTAGATTTATTTTTTAAGAGGTAGGAAGACAGAACCAGAACCAGACAGACAGTCAGAACCAGAATCTGTTAAACCGCGAGATCTGCTTGAGCAGAATATTATATAGTATAAAACAAAGTCGCTTTTTCTGTCCCTATGTACGCCTAAATCTACAAAACTATGCAACGGATTTTAATGCAGTTTTTCTAATAGATAGAGTGATTAAAGAGGAAGGTGCTATATACAACGTCCACAGTTTATCTGTAGTGTATTTAGTAACAGCATTGCACCCGAGCGAACGCGGGGCGGGTCGCTAGTAATATATAAATAACAGATAGGACTAAGTTGTGTCTAGCCCAGATAATTTTTCTTAAACACTAAATCACTAATATAACTACACGCAAAGCATTATAAATTTAGCCAAGTTTAAGCTGGGTTTTGTTATGACCCGGATATCGAATTACACACCTTCTCCTTGACCCTGTGCAATTCATTTGAAAACTCGTGTGTATTGTCCTCAGCCAGTTTTTGCAACTGCCTCGCTTCCTGTAGCTGTATTTGAGCGCCTTTTAACAAATCCGGTAGCGGCGCGAGATCTTGTAGTTTCTCTTGAAATTGCATCTAAATTTGACAAAAAATTACTGTAAATGTGTACTAAGTACATAATTTAACAACTTTCCAAAACCAACATTTATTTCAATCAAAATCTTCTATTCACGGTAAATAGCGCAAACGTCTTTGAATTGTTGATAATTGAAAATAACACAAAAATAGCACTATGCATTTTGCAACTGGAAACTCAGATGTTTTAGCCATTTTGCGTAAAAAACTCATTCGCCTAAAATATTTAATTTAATCTGATTTTAATACACTTTTGCAAATATCAGAACTAGCAAAGGCATATTCTTTTAAAATACTATTTCTAGCAACTAGGTTAATTTTCTTTCCATATTCTTTCTGGTCGTTTTGTTTCTCTGTGAACCTCTCATTGATAGTGAGACAAATACGTTAGGTATGGAATTGATATAATAAACAAAAATTTGTTTAGAAAAGCGATTGCGTAAAGCTTTTTTAACATCGACTACATAGAAAAAATTAAAAGAGAATAAAACTCTTTTCGCGTTATTACGAGTAGTATCACAGATATGAACTATACCTGCCAGAATTCATTCTTACCAAGAAGTACTTATATATAAATAATCATAATGAATGAGATTCGCAATCGCACTATTTAATGAAACTAAATTAAATAACACACCTTCATTTTCTGTATCTCAATCTGTATCTGATCGGAGACTTGTTTGTTGTCATATTCTATTAAATCCAGTTGCCGCTTATACTCTTCAACTTGTTGCTGCGCCTGAAGATACTGTGGTAGTAGAAAATGTTTATTAGCACTAGGTCATCCATCTTAAACTAATATATATAATTCTTACATCACAGTGTTTGTTACCATGTTCATCTGAAACGGCTCAACAAATTCTTTTGAAATTTGTAGGCATATTTAGAGGAGTCCGAGAATCGGTTACTATCCATTTTCCATATAAGTTGTCCACTCCTATTTTTATAGTTGTTTCAGTAATATAATCATTTTGCCTCCCGCTGACTGACCCACTATTAATTGGTAAGTTATCCCCTCAAGCGGTTACTTGTCAATAAATTATAATAAATTAATGTTTGGTGTTTTGTTATTTATATATGTCCTCATCACAATTTAATTCACAAGCGCCCCGTGTCGTTTTCAGTCTTATATTGGATCCCTACTAACGGACTAGAAATTCCGTAGAAATTATTTATATAGCAAAACAAAAAATTGCCAACCTTTAACCTGTACTCTTGTAACTGCTCGTTCTTCTCTGTAATCGTTATTTTCATTTCCTCGATCTCTTCGCTAGCGTCTCTGAGTTGTTTCTTTAAATTCGACAGTTCCTCGTTGGATTTCTTCCTGTAATCCTGCAATTAAAACAACGAGGTCTCTATCTATTACTGTTCTATAGCTGGGAACATTTTCTTTCTTGTAGGTGGGATGCTGAACGACTACTGCCTCTAAAATTAATGCTAAGGGAATTTCCAAGTAAAAAACACCTCTTACATCGTGATAACACCTCTTAAATCTATACTCCGGGCTATTCAATACGTTAAACATATGGTAATTATTAATGACAATATCATATATTTGTCAAAGAAAAACTAATTCAATTAATGTTTCGCGTTTGAAACCGTTAACGATACAACCATTACAGAATGTTTAATTTCCAAATAATACTCAGTATAACTTGAAATAAAACTTACTTCAACGATGGTGCTGTTACACAGGCCGTTTAATTTAACTTCTAGATCTTTTAATTTTCCTTCATACTTTTCCCTTTGTAGTCGTTCTTCGTCCGCGGCGTTTTTAGCCCTTATCAATTCTTCTCGAAGCTTCGCTATCTATGATTTTTAAAAATACCAACATAAAGTTAAAATATGTGATACTCAATCAAGCAACCACGCTTGCAGAAGAGAAACGGGAAGTAAGAGTAATAGAGATATGCCGAGTCCTCATAATCCGAGTTAGGGTTCCTTGTCTACCTCCTTTGAGATATAAAATGTTACTATATTATGCAAACCTTTCTGTATGCTTGCGATTAATTTTACGTATTGTGCGAAATAAATTGTACCAATAAACAGTTTATTTTACGTTCCAGAATTCGTACTCACAAATAGGCCGACAGCGCATTTTGTTGAGATGCTTTATGGCTTTCCTTTTCTATCATAAAAAATCTAGCTTGTTAACGTCTGAATCCGGTGATGGTATTTCTAATTTTAATTATGCTACCTTACGATGTTTACATATTCTACAAACATACTTAAACACGAAGCACTACATACTTGTGGTATTCTATAATCTATATCGTCTTCGCGAATTTTCTCTTCGTCAACGTACTTGCTTTTAACATCAGTATCCTGTAGAAATAAAATCATAATTTCATTGTCCGACTGGTTAGAATCTTTTTGTGTCTTTTTATATAAATATTTGCATTGCTCAGAATCTGAAAGTGGGAGGTGTCTCGTCGCTTGTTGGTAAAGACCCGACTGAGCTGGCGGGACTAACTTCTTAAACAGTTTTTTTAACAAGAGACCAGTGCTGTGGAACTTCTACTAATAGAAATAATAATAGGAATATCTTACTAGAGACGTAGGCACCACAAAATCAGGTTTAAGAGCGTGTAAATTCATCCTGTCACGACGTATCGCAGCCAACTCCATTTGTATCTCCTTAACCTCACCTTCCATATCGCCAATCTGTTTTTGCTACACACAATCATAATCAGACGCCGTGACAAATCGGAAAATGGCTACGCTGACATTTAAAGCATTCCATATTCCATAGCACCAGGAAGTGATCAAACTTATTTGAAAAATCATTTTCAAATAAATTTAACTATTATATTGCGTTTTAAACCGTTAAAGTGTTTTATTTAAATGTGTACTACTCGCGTAAACTATAGACAGTATTTTATATACTAATCTTATGAAGCTAAAGCGTTTGTTTGAACGTGATAATCTCAGGAACTACTTGTTGCTTTATCTAATAAGATTTTCTCCCTAAAACGACTGGACGTGGACAATGTTGTGGGTATCTATAATTCATAAAGGTGAGGTTTGCATAAATAAATTTTGATGCACAAAATAAATATTCTTCGCAAACTAATGATAAAAATTCGCCATTTGTGATATTTACTCGGTTTTATAAATAAAATACTAAACAAAAGTATTAGTTTTTAACTTATGTTATTTTTTATATATTTCATAGGCTAATGTATATAAATAGTATATAAATTTCGGAACAATTTATCGAGGAACATTTCATACAAAGTAGTTGAGCGATTTATGGGCAGTTTAGTACACAGCGAATAGGAAGTTATATTAATGTTTCGAGCAGATGTTTCTTTTGTTAAAATTTTTGACCGATGCTTTTGTTCCCACTGCCATACAACGAAAACTACATACAACAATCCTTTTTGTTCAACTTACCAACACAGAAGAGTTTCCATTAACCTCGCGTGAACTAAACGGCCAATATTCTGACTGTGGCATCACAATGGACATACGAAAGATAGAAAATCGAGGTTTTATTAATAGAGAAAAAGATTATCAAAAAATTAATATATTAGCATTTATTAGTCATAATATGATAGTACTGGTGACATAACTTTGACATTGATGACAGCTTTAAAGGAGTATTTATTTATAAATTAACCTCCTTATTTATCCTTTACACAATTCTATAGTATATAATAATATGCGCATAGTACGAAATCCCTCCGCTCGTAGGACTACAGGTCCTCTTTTTTAAATTATCCTTATATGATTCTTAATATTAATAGGTATCATACATTAATTTTTAAATTAATTAATAGGTATCGTACATTAATTTTTTTTTAGCTTTTTAGGATTATTTGAAGTCTAGTGTTCCCGTAAGATTGAAGGCGCGAGAAGACATGAAAGAAATAAAAGTAGTCAAGGCTTAGAATATTCGATATTTGTCAGCAGGTATTTTGTCGTTTACTTACTGAAAAGGTAATTACATAAAGTGTATTAATAATTATTATCATATTGTTATTAGGTAATTATTATACACTAATATAGCCACAACCCGTGCCATCTATGAACCGATAGCAGTAGCACGTAAAATCGCCTTGTCATTTTTAGGAACAGTATCGCTATCTGCCAATAGATGTCGCGCCACGAAATATTCATGTGTCAAATGTCAATTGACAATGTTCATTGTCCATGAAACTTGAAAGTTAAAAATTAAAATTTCATGTGCATTGTGCAAAATCGAAATAGCCAATTTGTAATTTAGCGTTACGCTTTGTCGATAAATAACTAAGTACTTACACAAGATTATTCGAAGCTCATCGAGCATCGAATTCTGTCTTTTTATTAAAAAAGCATATTGTTAATGAACCAATATCTTACAAAAAAATCTAACTAGTGGTAGCATGTATTTAAGCCCATTTCAAAGATTTATGTAATTTATCACTGGTTTGGACACATATTGTGGCGTTTTAGTTTGGAGTAAAATGAATAAAGACAAGAGAGAGATTGAATATCCAGCAGAATTGGAATCACAATTCATTCTAAGACTACCGGAAGAACCAACAAAAGTATTGAAAGATGTTCTGAAAACTGGTGAGAATCTTAAAAATCGCCTCACAATACAAATCGATAATGATATGAGGCATGGAGAAGTGCGCCTTGACCATTGGTTGATGCACGCGAAAATTGTTGATATTCCCACCATCATTGAATCGCTAAAAACCATTGATAACAAAAGCTTCTACAAAACGGCTGATATCTGTCAAATGATGATATGCAAGACAGAACCAGACCAGCCTGCTGATGAAGAGGCACCGACGAAAAACAAAAAGAAAGATCCCTATAAAGTTGAGAAAAAATTCCTATGGCCACATGGTGTCACTCCACCCACAAAAAACGTTAGGAAGCGACGTTTCCGTAAAACACTGAAAAAAAAGTGCGTGGAGGGCCCAGAAATTGAAAAAGAAGTCAAACGATTACTTAGAGCCGACAATGAGGCAGTGAATATAACTTGGGAAGTGATAAAGGATGATGACGAACATATCAAACCTGAATCTAGTAGGTCCAATGTTAAACAGGAGCGAAAGCCAAAGGAACGCACTAAGAAGGAAATCAAAAAGGAAGCAAACACAAAGCCAACTTCAAATGTAGTTGATATCTTTGGTGGTGCTTTGAGTGACAGCGATATTGAGGATGAAAATGTTAATGTAGATGTCGACGACAGCCATATGTCGTATGACACAAGGCTATCAGACAACAGTGTAATGCTTGGTCTAGATACAAAGAAGAGAACGCTTCCTATAGAATTTCAATCTGAAATGTTCCAGGCAGCCCCTGTAGCTCATGCATCATCAAGTATGGTAGACAATAAACCAGAACAATATTCGGATGAGGAAGATTTTGCATCTCATGATGAGTCTAAGGAAAATATGTCTGTTAGAATTGAACAACTTGGGGCAGAGTTGGAAGAAATGAAACAAAGAAGAGTAAGAACTCAGAATGAAATTGCCAGCATGGAGAATTTGGCATTACGTCAGAGATTCCAAGATACTCTACACACATTGAACCAAGACATTATGTTCAAAGAAATGGAGTATCAAGGGCTAATTACACTTCAAAATTCTGATGATATATAGTTTTTCTGCAGTCCAAAAAGGCCCAAGCTATTAATCATCTCAAAATATTTCTATACTTAGTCCGACTGTGTATATCTTGGTACAATTAAAGTAAGATTTTCCAAATGTTTTATTTTTCCTACCAAACCAAAAGAATATATAAATTCATTAGATAACTGAATAAAGCATTCATTGACCTTTTCACAGTTTGAAACAATTTTTTTACTTCATTCATTTTCTACAAGAAGACCCATCACTCTAGTGTTTAAAAATTATGATGCTCTGGTTAGTTATTTTCTTATGTATAAGAAACAGAGAAAATAATTCAATTAGCCATTTTAGAATAACCTTTTAGTTTTCAATTATAGAAAATTTACAAACATTACCTTTTTTGTTTGTTTATTTCATAATCGAAAGCAATTCCAGCAATAGAAAGCATAGCCTGAAAAATTTCTACTCATATGTAGGTATACAGTGAACCTACCAGAATAAATAAAGTGTACTGAAATGATATTTTGGCTAAAACTTCTTATAGATTTTGAGCAGCAAGATTCAAAATTAGTAGCTTTAGTATGTAACATACATAATATATGTTTTGTTATTAATTTTCAAAGATAATATTGACCTTTTTTAATTGTAAATAAGGTAATTACTTAGGTAGTATTTAATTTTTAAATAATAAGAGACAAAATCCAACTATGATTTATTTTTATTTCATCAAATGTACTGTGTTACTTAAAGTGAAACATTAACTTCATGTCTTTAAGTGCATGTTTCTTTTTATGTTAATCTGTGTAAATACATGCTCTCGGATTTTAAATATTGCATAAAGCGAAACTGACACGTCATGTTAAAACATTGATTTGGCCTTATCCCTCCTACACTGCACACCAATATCATAATACATTCACTTTGAATGCACTTGACCTTTGAAAATAATACATGACGTATGCTACCTCACACTGCAAAACGTGGTCAATAGGAGATAGTTATTTTGAAGCATATTGTTACCTCTTCTGTGCACTGCAGTATAATCTGAAATTTCTATACCCTCTTTCAGTACAATTCAAGGAAATACTTATTTAAATAAATAAACCAATAATAACTAAGTATGTTAAGTTGGGTAACTCAGGTAATATAATTAGATAAATAAATTTAAGTGTTTCTGAATCCACACTTTTATAACTTTCTTTTGGCTTTTCAGTTGTATAAGGATCAATGTTTAGAAGTAACAATTTATTAATTATCAAATTTTGGTCGCCTGAAATATTTAAGATACATGAATCAATTACAACTCACTAACACACAAGTAACTGCATTTAAGGAATTAAACAACAAAATCAAATTGTGTAAACAAAGTATCAGTGATTCGCGCCACTTTTCTGATCCTAACCTATATTTCTCTGCCGTTGCCGCTAATAAAATATAAAAGATATGAATAATTTATTTATGGGTCCATACCTAAGACTACAATTGTTTAAATATCATTAGTAAGACATACAATAAATAGTCTTATTATCACTTTTAAAAATTTTGCATGAAATCTTGGTTTTCATTTAAATAAATAAAATTGAATAAGCAGTTTTATTACTTTAGCATATAATGAATAATCCAGTGTCTCAAAGTGTTTTTAGTGTACAAACACAATTTACGAGAAAATCACGATTTCACGTAAATTGTGTTTGTTTACCAAAAATGACAAGTTAGAAAAAATACACTTATAAACGATCTTTTTTGAAATAATATTTTATGAGCTATACGATTCTGAGTCTGTGCCATAGATATTCTTTGCCCTGCGTTATCTGTTCACAGCGACAGCTGTTAAAGTTTAAACCTGCGCTTACGAAGCGCCTCCCGGTAAAAGAAAAAGTCGCGATTGGCGATTGGCGAAACCCCTCATTCTCATTACATCAGTGACATCGACAGTCGGCTTGTTAGATAAACATAAATTAGGTTAAGTTTTTACATAAATATTAAAGCAAAATGAGTCGATTTCCTGTTGCAATTTCTATGGTAAGTTTGAACACAACACGTGTCACAAAAAAAAAATAGCCCTAAAAGTAATTACTGAGTTTCGTTTCAGCTAATGATCCTTACACTGTTCATACCGATATCTACTCAAGTAAAGAAACAAGGGTCGTCTATATCACAAGTAGAAGACATTAAGGATTTTAAGAAGTTAATGCGATCGAAAACAAATGTTTTAGTAATCTATATAAATAGTAATAAGGAAGCAAAAACAATTTTGAAGGTGTTCAAAGAAGTGGCAGAGAAATTGAAGGGTAGAGCCACATTAGTGTCAATAGATTGCTCAGGAGGGTAAGTATTTTGTCTAAACTTGTACACTCAACTTTGATTTAACATTTTTCTAAAATAGGTGATGAGAAGTATCTTCTAAAGTCTAAGCATACATGTTAATATATTATGATACTTGGTGATTGAGAACCAGAATAAAAAGTAAAAATTTTCAGGTCCATGTTGTCCAGTAGAAACATTGTTACCCTTTCCTTTTTTTACTTCTAACAAAATATTTTAGTGCCTCGTATACTCATCAGTTGTATCATCAAAATATCAAGTAAATATGAAACATTATAATTTATATTTTACAGTGAAGGAAAGAAGCTTTGCAAAAAGCTGAAGACAGATAAAGCAGCACCCTACTACATTAAGCATTACAAAGACGGAGAGTTCAATAAGAATTACGAACGAGCGGAGACTGTAAATTCAATTGTTAATTTCCTCCTAGATCCCACTGGAGACATACCTTGGGATGAGGATCCTACTGCAACAGATGTCTATCACTTAGCTGATGCTGCAGTAAGTAAAATATGTATACCTTCATTTTATATTGTAAAATAATTCATTGCTACTTCCCACCTCCCATGACAAGCGTGGGTAAGTTGAGATTTTTCACAAATCGCTCACACTACACGACCATGTGTGGAAACGGAGAAACAGTAAGTTTTTGTTGCAAAGATATAATGCAATATTGTTGACTTATAGGAAAACATTGACTTCTAATACAAATATTGTCCAAAAGTTCTATTAGCTATTCTAATAATTTATAACAAGTAAAAAGGGTTATGAAATAAATAAATATATATCAATCGCAATACAAAAGTCTTTAAAAAGCATGGGCCTTGTTTGTGTGTTTTCTTTCTTAATATATTTTCCTTAGCTGGTTTTGAGTAAATCTTGAATTTATTTTTACAGGCTTTATTAAGCTTTCTAAAAAAGGGTGCGGCAACACAAATGAATGCCCTAATAATGTTCTATGCTCCATGGTGTGGCTATTGCAAGATATTAAAGCCTGAGTATGCACAAGCAGCTACAGATGTAAAGGTAAGCTAAAATTGATATATTCTTGTATACAGTATTTAAGTTTATCTAAATGTTATTATTATGTAATAGAAAACCATTTTTGTATATGGACTTTTTATGATTCTTCAATCAAAACAGAATAGTAACAAATTTTTCGTAATTTTATAATATGTGTGAAATCTTGTTTCCCTCCATAAGGCATGGGGCGAACACATTCCTGTGCCTGTTTCAATGTCGGTTATCTTTACAGGCAAGTAGTTGGTCAGACTTCTGTGCCCTGCCTGACCGGGAAAACAATAGATTGTTTTCCCCGGAGTATGGAACCCAGGGCTTCTCACGCTCATCGCAATGCTAGGCAACACGTTTAGCTACAGAGGCTCCCTATTATTTATAAAGTCTATAAATGACCACCTCTCTACCTAAATGGTTAAAACTGTTACGTAGAATTGCATTCAGCATGAGAGTTCTTGGCTTCAAATCCCAGGGATACAATAGATTGCAGAGAAGTCTGATCTACTACTTGCCTGTAATAAAATTGATCAATGAAAAGGCCATAGAAATGTGTTGCCTGGGGCATGTCCCCCTAAACTGGATTTAACTTTCCATTTTGTATATAATAATTACCTAGTGGGAGTAATCTTGTTTAAATATTTAATTATTTTCAGGGAGAAGGCATGTTGGCAGCTATTGATGTCTCGAAACCAGATAATGCAAAACTTCGTACTGAGTACAATATAACTGGTTTCCCAACATTATTACTCTTTGAGTGAGTACTTTATAGTAGAAAATAATGTCATTATTTCACATCCTACGGAGGCCGTTAACAAATAAGAAGTTTAATAATATTAAAATTCAATCATTGTCTTTACGTGACTAGTCGTCGTAAAAATAAAATGCTCCCTATCGTACTTAATATACATTAGGAAACAGGTTAAATGATATATTTCGCGTTTTAAACCCTTAAAAGTGTTTTATTTAAATAAATTTAATAATATCAACTGATATTACCTTTGATTGGGATAAAATTATATATTTTGGTGAGCATACATATGTCATATTACATAAAAGAAAGAAAATAACAAGCAAATTAGAAAATAGAGTGAGCTTTTTGTATAACAACAAAAACATTTTTCTTTAACTAGTCTGTATGTTGTACTATTTTTAGGAAAGGTCGCTTCCGCACAGTTTACAGCGGTGAGAACAAACGAGAGGCACTCGTCAAATACGTTAAGGATCCCAAGGAACAGCCACGTGCTCCCGAACCGCCTGAGTCATGGCAAGAGGATACACAGTTACAACATTTAACCAGTAAGACTTGCAATAACAGTTTCCATCACTATAACTTCTTTGATAAGAGTAGCTATGGTCTCAGCATATATTCTAATTCATGGACATGCCGTTCTCTGCAGGACATTCTTTCTTCCATTCGTTTATTAGAAACTATATCAGTATATGATAAAGACATTTAAAAAAAACTGATTGGTTTGAAATATATATTATCTTTGTGTAATAACCAGTACTAATATAAATGTAGATGTGATTTAGAAATAACAATAGAAATTTTAATTAAAATGTTTAACTTCACGAATTAAACATCATCAACTATTTTCCTAAAGATATAAGGAATCAAAAACAAAACAAATTGGGTTTAGTCAAATCTAAGACTTTGTACTTTTCCTGGATGATATTAAAATGATGAAACCTCATTCTTAGTGACATTAGTAATATTCTAGACACAACTGTCAGATTGCTTGATCTTTTCTGAATACGAGCAAAAGTATAGATTTAATATAGAAAAATATTCCAACAAAAATGTTTAAACGATTATGGAATTACGTGAAAGGTATTATTATTGGATGGTTTGTGTACTGTATCATTGTGGATAGATTTTTTTTCTGTGCTAGTTGAAGGTATATATAACACGGTAATTTCAGCTTAATATAAACGGCTAAGTCAACTTTGATAGGACTTTTATTGGCTGTTGACATGACACATAGATTTGATTAAACACACGTTAGCTCACTGTTGCATATTATATTTTTAATCATCCAACGTCATGTGTCTTCTGGCTGATAGTCTTATAGGATGATGTCCCAGTTGTGGGAACACGTAAAGAGCTGATGATTATCATGTTTAATCTTTTAGAATACTTTAAATTACTACACATGAAAGTGCACGTGACTAGATTTATACAAAACAAGTGGTCGTCCATACAAGGCCGGAAAATTTAAATTTAAACAGTTCGGCAGCTTTGATAGTCGTGGGTTCGAGTAAAGCCGGTGTTATTTATATTTTTAATTTATATGTGCCGTGTGTATTTACAGTGGAGACCTTCGACAGCATGCTGCAACAGGTGGATAGTGCACTTGTCGTGTTCTATGCACCATGGTGTGGCCACTGCAAGAATTTAAAACCCAACCTTGTTAAGGCACAGGACGCTTTGAAAAAGCAGAAGGTAATTTATTGTTTGGTTTCAAATAACAAACACACATGAAACACACAGGCGATAACGTAATGTTCTGAAAAATAAAAAAGTTGCAAAACATTGATGTAGTTTTTAAGTTCACAATTTAAACAGTTTAAAACTAAATGTGTTTGTTAAAAGTATTTACGAATTATCTCAACTACGGCTTCGGACGCTTTGCAGCAGCCTCAATCACGGCTCAATATATTTGGCGTTTTAAAACGATTCATTAATGAAAAATTTCAAGAGTCTAGTAGTATGAAATATGATAAATTCGAAGACAAAAGACTTTGCAAAAATTTTCGCGTGCGTTGCAGTGGCCGTGAACACCGTGCTATTAAAAACATTCCACGTTTTAAAACGTTGAAGGTGTCATATTTCAACGTGTCGCAAAAACTTGATTCCCTGAGATTGAAACTTAGTGGAACTGACTTATGTCAATTTGTAACTAAAATTTTTAACTTTAAAACTATAGAAACATGTTCTTAACCATAGAAATTCATTCATTTCACTAGCCTTGACTGCCCTGTCGACATCCTGACAAAACTAACGCAAGGTAACACAATACATAGATAATTAATATGATTTGCAGATCGAAGGAATGATAGCAGTGGTTGACGTGACAGCGGAGAAGGAGCTCGGTTCAAGATTCAATGTAAAGGGATACCCATCGACTAAGTATTTCTCGAAGGGCGAATACCAGTATGACGTCAATCATCGGACAGATGACAAAATTATAGAATTCATGAAGGTAGTTTTTAAATAACTTCAGTATGAGATTAATTAGCAAAAAATATATATCACGGAGTGATTTAAATAAAACTTTATAAATAGAATAGAAAAGAGATAGTAATATAGTACTAATATAACTAAGTAGAGATACAATACTACAGTCGCCTTTGAATGATGAGTCCTCATCTTAGCTACTTTGGGACTAAGCTATCCCAACACTGATATTCTGTGGCGCAGTCAGACGCCGAACTAACAAAACCGATATGATTTGACATTTATTTTATATTATATTATACACAAATGTTTAACATTTTTTAATATAGATATATATAATGAATAATACTTACAATTCTTTTACTCGCCTTTCTATACTAAGTTCAATGTTTAACTTCAATTGAAAATACTTACATTGTTTACTGCATAATTACACACCAGATCTTATTTATTTATTGTTACTTAGTTCGATGAAATAATATTTAGTACTTAAAACTAGGTTTTAATCATACAAATTACCAAAATGCCACCTGGAATGTAACATAACGTCAGATGTGTTCATTTTCCCAGTTCGTGGAAAGTAGGTAAGTCAATGATTACCCACGAATGACGTCAGTGCGATTGGTGATTCAGTAGCGATTAAAAATATCGTATTAATAATTTACTTCTACATTTTAAAAAATATTTAAAAGATGATATAATTATTTTATTCGATAAATAAATAATTAAGTCTAGATGACTTAGTAAAATTAAGATTTTAATGATGCTCTAATGAATATTAAATGAATGAATTATGAATAAAAAGTGCCCATTACAAAAACTTTAGCCAACCTTAAAAAAAATGTAACTACTCCAAATTTTTTCTTAGGGGTTAAAAAAAAATTCTAAATGTCATTGTTTTAATTTCAGAATCCACAAGAGCCGGTCGCTCCGCCGCCAGAGAAGCCATGGTCTGAAGAGGAGAGTGCAGTGCGTCATCTCAACGCGAAGACGTTCAAACAGACCCTGAGAAAGGTGAAACATGCTCTTGTCATGTTCTATGCGCCGTGTAAGTAAAACTGATAACAATGTTTAGACGATAATTGTTGACAGGTGCTCACACATAACTTGTAAAGCATTTAAAACAATCATGAAATGAATAGATAGCTAATGGCGCGATTAACTAGCAGACACTTATTTTTTTATGATATAAAAGGACAGACAAGCATGACATACCCCAGCCATATACCATCTAAACAAGACGGCCCGTCGACCGATTTTGACTTTAGATATATCGGAAATCCAGACTGAAAGCGAAACGCGTTTGAACTTGCCGGCTTTATCATCTGTGGTTCTTGACCCGGACGGAATTTCGATATTCCTACCGTCCACTAATAACCAGATTTTCATATGAAGTCCAACAGGTTTTAGAATTTCAAATTGATTTAGATACATGTTGGTTGAATTTTTGCTCAGTTCAATTATACATGCATTTTTCAGGGTGTGGCCACTGCAAATCTACGAAGCCGGAGTTCGTCTCGGCAGCAGAGAGGTTCGCTGAGGATCTGGTAGTGCTTTTTGGTGCGGTCGACTGCACAGTGGAAGCTGCCACCTGCGCGACCTTCAATGTGAAGGGCTATCCGACCTTCAAGTATTTCAGTCATTATGACCGTGTTGTAGACTATACCGGTGGTAGAAAGGTGAGAAAACTAGTTTTTAAACAGTACAAACTTAATGTGCAAGGGAAAATTCGTTTCACTGATCGGTTTTATTTACACGCAGTCATACTCCTGTGCTCCGTCCGACTGCAATAGTCTTTTGTTTCCCCGGGGTTGAAACCCAAGGTCCCCCGCGCTTAACGCAATCCTAGACAACACGATTCACTTTTTAGCCATTTAGGCAGTCGTGAAATTAAATGAACGTTAATAAAATAATTATTTTAGTGGTACAAACTTTATTCGCTTTTAAAGATATCGGATTTATTCTTTATCTTAAAATTTAATTTCTCAATAACTCTGATTTTCTTTGGACGAGCAAAATTATATTCTTTGAATTAAAAAATAACTGCAATGACTGCAAATGTGCCATACTTGAATTTGTGACGTCACTTTTCAGATGGTCGACTTCGTCAAGTACATCCATACCCAGATTGAGGAGCAGAGCATGAAGCGACACGACTCCACCGGCTTCGGCGTGAGTGTCGTGCTCGCGACGGATGACAACTACGAGCAAATATTCGCGGACGCCGCGCCATCGTTCGTCATGTTTCACGCTACATGTATGTCATTTTAATTGATTCTTAAACTGCCTCTCAATAGAACTAATTTAGGCGTGTAATTTAAACGTAAAATAAAAAAGTGCCTTAAAGAAGGCCATTAATTTCATTTAATAGCTGTGTACTACATATATTTTAACCACCAAATGTGTTAGCGACTTCGTCGGTGTAGAAAAGTTTTTTTGGACATCGAAAGTTGTTTTTGCACACCTCTTCATCTTTATAAATTTAAGCTTCGCTACGATTTCGGTCGCTTCATAGTAATTTCATCTAATGGGACAGACAAAGTATCGCGAACATTTGTTTAGGAGTCATTATTTCAAATATTTTTTTTTGATAATTGAACCGTTTTCGCATCGTACTCTTCGGAAACCTACAAATATGAATATTTTTTCCCGTTTTTTGCAACTTTTTCTTCGCTCCTATTGGTCATAGCATTTTATAGCCTTCCTCGATAAACGCCTTAACTAACATAAAAATAATTGTTCAACTGTTATGTATTAGTGAAGATTTATTTAAAAATAAAATACCTAACACAAACGATGGATAAGTGGTAATAAATTGATATAATATATTATAGGGTGCAGCCATTGCAACGAGGCGAAACCGTCGTTCAGCCGCCTGGCAACGCAGCTGAAGACCGAGAATGCGCCGTTGAAAATCGTCGCGATCGACGTCACGAATAACCCGAAAGTGACGGATTTCGCGGGAATAAAAACGTTGCCAACATTCAAAATGTACGCCAATTCAGCCGAAGTGGCGGCATACGAGGGCGACCGGTCACAAGACGATATGTATAAGTTCTGCAAGAAGGCGATAAAGGTTAATGATGAATTGTGATTTTGGCTTAAGAAGTTGGCTTGCCAGTGTTTAATGAATTTAGCTTTTTTGAGATTACTTTATGGGTTTTTTTACATACATCGTTCTATTATTCATGTTGTTAGTGAAAAAGTATTTACCCAAATTGAAAAAGTTGTCATAATTATCTAAATAATTTAAATGAAAACCTTAAATTACAACATAAAAAAAATATTTGCAAATACATAGATAAATAAAAAAATTGATAATCAATTTTTTTTACTAGCAACACACAATTTTTGAATTTATTTTTTTAGTATTTTAACATTTAATCACGCTATAGTTCTAACACTTCGTCTTTTCACTGTGCCAAAAGGCTAAATTCAATATTTTCTGGCTACAGATTATATATTAGTGTACTGTGCCTTCAAGCATCATAGTTGTAGAAACATTTCAATAGCACGGGGAATTTTATGAGTATCCATTTTAATGTCTCAAAATATTTATCTCAGTGTGGATACATTTTAAACTCTCTGAATATATTTTTAATAGCATTTTAATTTTGTTTAGAAATCTTTTGCTTCACGAATTGCGTAAGATAATTATTTGCATGCTTACGAAATACTTGAACGGCCTCTCTAGCAATTTGGAACACTTACAAGTTGGGTTTATACGTAGTTCTTTGGCTCAATAAGTCATTAATATAGTTTAGTATTGTAGAATCGGATTGCAAGAGTTTTGCTAGATATTGATCTTTTTACTTATATTAGTGAAACATTTGTCATCACAGTTCTAATGTAAAGCTTACAAATATTGACATCTCTGAAGTAAATATGTTATACGATGATATAGAATTAATAGTATTTGACTGTTATATTTAGTCATAAAAGGAATAAAACAAAAAAAAAAACTAAATGTACAAGCTAATGTGGGGTCATTGAACTCTTGCGAGACAGCTGTCATGTTTAAAATACAATATCTAGACTTCCAAAGCCAGGTTTGTAGTTTGGTACTCTTTGTAACGCTTATTTTTAATATCTAATACATTCAGAAATAAATGTAATTTTAAGATTTTGGAGTGCTTATTTAGAAATATTTACACAGTATTTATAGATATACTAAGCTGTCTCGTAATAAATATCACGAAAAATGACACCGGTTCACCATTTTACATATTTGGTTAATCCTTGTCAATGTCCTCATTCTTTGTTGAAAGTGTAACGAACTGTTTAGCATGAAAGAATCTCGTTAGATTTGTATTTCCATTTTATTATCTTATAACATTGTTTAACATTCCATATAATATAATGTTAATATTTATTCTGTAACGTTTTTATATTATTGTATTTTAATAGTTGAAACTGTAAGAATCAAATGTTCGAATAGTTAGTTTGCGTATACTATATTGTGTATGTAGTATTTATTGCAATCTGTAAAAAATTCTATTAATAATTGAAATATTTTACATGAATAGAACTGTTTTTATTAATCTATAATGCTTTATAATATTGTAACATTTACAAAATACGTATACAAATCAGTAATTAGAATATTATACTTTTTTTCTATGGTTATATTATATTATTGGCGTAGAGTATACTTTTGATAACTTAATTGCGTTGTTACTTAATTCGAAATTTTTTGACAGCTGTCACATTTTTTGACAACTGACCAAATTGTTTTAGACATGTTAATGTCATTATTTTAGTATTTGTCGTCTATAGTCGATGCGGCTAGATTTAAGAAGTCTTTTTTTTTAATTTTCACACCAATATCTAAGTTCCTTTATAACTATATAATGTCTTCCAAGCATTTAAACGCATTTATAATCAAGTAATTATAGTTATATGAACGTTATTATATCAGAACTATAATAAAAATTTCCGTTATTTCAGAAATGAGATTAAGCGTAACTAATGAAGAATCTAACGTGTACTTATATATTTTTGTAATAAATAATAACCTTTTATTCCTTGTTTTATTTCAACACTAAATGACGCTCACTATCGGTTATGACTATTGTGTTTATTTGTTGGCAAAATATCTTTCTATTATTAATAATGTTTTGAACGAGGTTACCTCTTCCTACACCACTACGGAGTAGCTTAATTAGAAACACTAAATTTTGCTAGCTTTCAAGTTAATCTTCATCTATTTTGTGTTTTTTCGTGCATTTATTTTGTCAACTGAGTTAAAAAAAAAATCTTATTATGTATATTATAGTTGATATATATGATATTTGAAACTAAGAATAATTCACAAAAATTTCCCACTTTCTACTAACTTATGTAAAATGAATTCTGGGTCGTAAGAATTTATTTCCCCAATATTCTAATTCAAGACTTGTGAGTAAATCGCGAGACGCATTTTGGCCAGTTAAACAATTACTTAAAACTCTTTGTTTAAATATATCCATAAAACATTATATTGAAGCTTATGTATAACACACGAAAATCTCTACAAAATCAGACGACCGCGTGAACAATATGCCATACAGCATTGATACGCTGATGCCAAGCCGATAACTGCACCGGCAGCTACATCCTCCCAGTGATGGTGGTTATCACAACACCTGCTGTATCCAATGAAGCACGCGAGGCACACTGGCATAGCACACAACAAGAGAATATGGGCTCTGCGGCGTAGAAACCTGAAAACGTATTTTTTTTGAAGGGTTTGAATGTGTGTGCTATTGATTAGGATTCGGGTGACATCTATCACATAAAACATAAATGCAAAAAGGGGAGGAAAGTTCAAAAATTCTTTGCTCGCCGTAAAAAATTACGCAATGAGTGTCAAGTTCTATGCAAGTACTTATGTACTTAGGATTAAAATAATATTATGAACAAGTAATAAACTCTTCTTTGCTATATTGGTTAAGTACAATAACTGCTGTTATTAAAAAAAATATGAATCCTTGACGTAAGTACATTTGACTTTGCCAGCTTAGATTAGTCATTATATAAAATTACTAGCTGTGTCAGCGACTTCGTTCGCATAGAATAGTTATTTTGGGCATCCAAATTTGTTTTTGCAAACCTCTATATCTTTATAAATATAAGCTGTCCCCGATTTTCATCGTACGCGTTCCGGTTAGCGCGATCAAAGCAAACTTAATCTTTAAAGATAAGGAAAACAATATTTATTTTTAAGTAATTTAAAGTGCCATAATAATTGGCCAAGCATTTTTTAGTTCAACTTTATTACTCTTCACAAGCGCGTTTTTATACATATAACCAACACAAAAATAAAAGAAGAATTCGAACCAGTAGTTCCTGATATTAGCGTTCAAACAAACAAACTCTCATATTTATAATATATTAGTATATTGATTTTTGTGAGTACCAAACAAATCTAAAAAAATCCAAATTCCTCTCATGTGTATTTGAGAAAGAAATGATTAGATTACCTTCCGTATAACCATAGACTTATAAAGCCAAGCGAACAGAATGAAAAGCTACTATGTCCACTTGGAAAGGACTTCCTTCCGTCGACAATATCTTTACCGCGACCGGCGCAGATGCCGATAACACCGTTTGGATAACACCTATAGAAGAAATCTGGTCTTGGGCGGCTTATCAACACTTTTAGCACCTCTGTTATCAATGCATTTATAAGTATAGCTAGTGTCCACGCGAGAAACGCTTGTGCCGTCTCTACAGAGTTCCTTAAAAGGAGGTAGGGCAGACTTAGAATTATCACGGGCACAAGTATGATTATTGATATCATAACCCACGGTGGTATTATTGAATCCCGCCGTGGTTTTTTATAGTCGCTTATCAGTTCTTCTGGTGTTATGCAATGTGGTTGTCGCTGTAGAGCATTATGTGTTGCTATAATGCCGAGTAGAAGGAGCATTCGGATAATCAATTCGGTTAATATATTCGTTTCGGTTATGTGTTGTGTTGGCGCGTTCGCCGCGCTCATTTAATTGATTTTATGTGTGTACATTCTCTGAAACAATTCTTATATTTTGACACAGTCTGACAGATGTACCAACAGATGTTATACGGTTCATTCGTGTTTACACAGGTGTCGTGTCCACAGGTTAATAAAGGAACCGGAAGTTAAATTTCGAAAAAATAAAATCTCAATCAGTCTTCAGAGTCTAGGTATTCTGTTAAATTACCAAACAAATTGATCAGCTGTTACATTATTACACGTCTATATACCACTGTCGAAGTTAATAAAGGCCGAAATTTTATTAGAATCCCAGAGCCGAGCTCGTGTCCCCTTTCTAACAGAAAAAAGGGTTTAAGAGACCTACGTTACATCCATACTTACTCCTACCTTGCTACAGTTCAAGTACTTACTCTTTAACGATATATGTATCTAATATAACCTATGAACCCTTGTAATCTGCAGTCAAACGTACCAAAGTAATTGACCAAAGTATATTAGTTATACGCTTACAGAAATATCAGATAAAGCCACCTCTATATACGAATACAAAGCAAGTAAGATTAGAACGCACAAAGCCGCAGGGCAAGCTATTACCTCCAGCATTAAGGAAATTTCCGAGACGTTTATCAGCGCATACGACTTAAATTGCGCTGGAATAACTAGTCGTATGACATTACGAGACAATTTATTAGTAGAAGCACGTCTTTTTATAGACGCGGATAATGTTCTAGATGTTATATAATCTTTTTCTTTTGTAATTATTTCGCACGTTATATGATTCCGTGTGTTTTTAGATGATTTGAAGCATATTGACCCATAGTGGAATTGACCGCCTTCTTTTCAGAGTTTAACGACTACCGCCACTAAATTAGTGATGGCTTAACGTGCCTAGAAGCAGTGTTGTGATGTTATCTTTGTTTTTCAAAACCGAATATTCACTCAACATGGAAATCGGGAATCAGGACTTCATGATTGTCGACCGTACTAAACACTAGACCGACGAGGCAGAACTTGCTTATAGATGAAATGGAGTGAAAAAGCCGAAATGTCACAGTTCGCGGGCTCATAAAAACGAGATATCACATTTTTTGTGCAGTGTTTTTTCTTTTTTGTCTCTTTCTTGCATGGATAGCCACGTGCTGTTCATACCGCTAGGAAACTCAAGGACTCGTTTAACGATCAATGACTAGATCAAAGCTTACGTAAAGTAATTTTCCGCTCCATACAAACTGTGCGCGGTAACTAGTAAGTAAAATTTCCGACTAGCTGGAGGCTTTGCTTAGTCTTCTTGTCGTCTTATCATCGTGTCGTCAAAGTGACTAAGTTAAGATGATAAGTTTGAAATGTCACAGCTCTGTCGTTATAGGTTTTCTGTACCTAATTTTTGTTTTGTCAATCAATATAGATTTGTTTAAATAACAATTTATTAATGGTATTGATAACACGGTTTGATTTTGTTCGGCATTTCTATGAATTTGTTAAATGTAAAAAAGTAGTTATAGTGACGTAACTACAATAGTTAGACATATTGTCTCGCGATGTGTTTTTGTGTATATAATGTGATAATGAAAAAATAATTATTAAAATCGGTCCAGTACTTTTTGCGTTTATCCGTTACATACAAAAATACAAATCTTTCCTCTTTATAATATTAGTGTAGATAGCTGTTACCCACGACATTCGTATCCCGTTGTACGCGTCCCGTCGTTCGGGTCGTTCTTGCCAGTTAATCTTAAAGATAGACATATAGCGTCGCGGATTTTTTTTAGATCATTTAAAGGGGAATCATTCTTTCATACACAACTTTTAGATATCTTGAACCGTTTTCGCAGCGTGCGCATCTGAAACCTACAGAGATGAAAAATTTCCCCCGTTTTGTTCACATTTCTCGCTGTATCTTCTCTGTCCTGTGTACTTGTCGTATCGCTGTGTCTTGGCCTATAACGTTCCTCGATAGATGCTCTAACCAACACAAAAATATTTCTTCAATTCGAACCCGAACTTCCCGAGATTAGCGCGTTCAAACAAACAAACAAACTCTTCAACTTTATATGTTAGTATAGGTATAGATATAACCAACGAGTCCTAAGTTCGATTTGAGCCGCGTGCAACGTGATGCAAAATAAATCGTTTTTTTAATGACATTTGGACATTATATAAAAATAGTGGACTGTTACGTATTTAGGGGCTAAAATAGACGTACGTATAGTATACGTATATATTTAAGCCCCTAAATTTCCGAAGCAAAACTAAAATAGGTCAATAGTGTATCCTTATTTGATGTAATGACTCCGTACTTGCCGATCCTTTCTCTTGAAAAGCCAGTTTATATTGACTATTAGTAAACGTATGGTTTAAGCATAGTATTTGAATTCGGATGCTTCGGATTCGGATTAGATAATATAGGCCGAATGACCTTACCCATTCACTGACCTAAGAGTTCATTGGTACGGATCTTCACAGCTTCGGTTGCGTTATAAAAATATAATAATTATAAGAGATTACGTTGTTAGATACGTTCACTTTACTTATTTTGATACTCGCCAGTTTCCGTATTTGCACAATCTCTGTGTGGTATCCCCGATGTGGGGCATCGGACCTGTATTGCTATACTAATGTACAAAAATCTCCCAAATCTCAAAGGGCGACAGCGCATCTTATATTAACAAAATACGAATGACAATTAATTATTGTTTTAATTTCATTATTTTTAAATAAAACACTTTAACGGTTTAAAACGCGATATATTAGTTAAACTTATTTGAAAATGATTTTTAACTTCGGCCCTATAAGATTAACTTTTATATCGCGTTTTAAACCGTTAAAGTGTTTTAAGTATTTAAATGTGTACTACTCGCGTAAACTATAGACAGTATTTCATTATTTTTACAAAGACCTTTTGCAACAAAAATGAAACGGAGCTCATGCTAGAGTTGGTGTCATGTTTAAGCCAAAGTTTGAACCCGTAACATAATGGTACGTTGTAGTAGAAATAATTCTAGATACCAAGAACCAATTACCTACAAGACCAGAGTGAAAGGCTACTAGTAGAAATTAAAAAAAGCCAACACACATTGAAATGTCACTGATGTGTTACATAATGGTGTCATAATGGTTCTTCAGTGTTGCAGGAAGTACATTATAAGCAAAGAACATATTATATGCATTTTGGTAGGATGTCATACTATTATTACATAGACACCAGCTTTTTGCGTGCACCAGAAATATTGTAATTTTTTTTATCAATTACAAAAAATATCAAAGATATAGCTAAATAAACACTGACTATTGTTGTTTTTACGCTATGTAAGTCTTATGGTATCTGTTGCGAAAATAATATCTTTAACGAATGTAACTTATTTTACTGGCCGCTTCTAATAAAAAAGTTTATAATAATACAGACGTATGTCGCTTAGTCTGTTGGGGCGCGAAGTTTAAAAAAAGATTTTTTTTCCCTTCTAATCTTTATAAAAACTTACCGTTTTTGTTAATTCTATTAAATGTATACACAAACTATCTCTATTGAGTTAGTGTAGTATAGATAATTGGTTTTTGTTTCATGTTTTTAGCCAAAAATTCCGACCTTAAGGTTTTCACGAAGTTTTGAATTGATCTAAGAACTTCCTGGGATTGCTTACTCGTAAAACAAGACGGAGATACGGAGACAGTCGATAAAGTATCCATATTATTATGTCTGTATTAAGAATTTATAAGTCAAAGAGCTTTACTATTTTAATCTGTATAATTTTCATTACTATAAATTTTTTTATTATAAAGCAAATTATAACAAACACGACTCGAATGAACAATCAACTACGTACCGTGTTTTTTTATACAATTAACGGGTACTTTTAATGATAATTATTATTTAATGCTTGAACCTAAGTTGTGGGAAGTACATGGCTAACTTTTTAAAAACTTCAAAATGAAACAATGATTCCTCTACATTTTATTGTTTAGTCCTCCTAAGACGGCATCACTCTAGTCCTATTACGGGTATTCATAGAGACTTAAGAAAGTTACAAATTGTGGATTTTAACATTAGCAGGACTACTTCAAATTGTCGCTTTTTTATTCATCGTCGATCGACCATCTCCATTTGGTCAAGGCAAAGAAGACTTCAGCAATAAAAATAACGATTGATATCACTTTTGATGATCGCCGAATTGGAGACGTACTTATAAATTATAAGTGTATAGCAAAATGTCTAGCATCTCAATGAAAAATTTCGTGATAATAAATCGAGAAAATTGTCACAGAAGGAAAAGACAGCTTTGAAATTTAATACAATCAATTGCTGAACGAGTCCCGACTTCTTAAGCGGGGAAACCTTCTTCATGCGGGACACTTTATTTTAAAAATAGGGTCTTCCCGTCAAAATGAGGTCGTCTGCCAAAGATGTTGATGGTTATAATGAATACGCAGTATATTCTAAAACATAGCGTTTCTGGAGAGCTTATATAAGAGAGCCTCCAGAAACATGCATTTCTCTAGGAATTCTCCTAAGGTACGAGTGATAGTATATAATGACTATAATCCACGAGATTTATTTTCGAATTGCACTAGAGGGGTGCTACATTCACTGTCATATAAAAGCGATGAGGCCGCTCGAATACAACATAGTGAATAGAACTTTCCGTGCAGCTGGCGAAGGAACCTACACGAGATGGCTTCCTTCATCGCCGTGAGTAATTTTCCAAGTATTTTAATCGGTTTAATACGCAGATGGATTCGCGATCGTCTCGGGTTCGATCCCTGGGAATAACGAAGGAAGACAGGTCAGTAATTTTTCTCTTATCAAAGACTGAAGTGAGTTGATGCCTTAAGAAGAGAAAACGGGACGAGAAAATAGATTGTCGATCGAAGGCTTGCAAATGTCGTAAAATACAAATTACACATAATATTTAAATAAAACACTTTAACGATTTAAAACGTGATATATTAGTTAAACTTATTTGAAAATGATTTTTAACTTCGGCCCGACGTTTCGGATGCCTTGCAGCAGCAGTCTCCCGTGACCACGCCTGCTGATACCTAATATATCGCGTTTTAAACCGTTAAAGTGTTTTATTTAAATGTGTACTACTCGCGTAAACTATAGACAGTATTACACATAATATATTTAATCGTTCGTCTTTACGAAAGTTGTGAAAATGGCCGGCCCAAACGGCACGACAGATTTTAATAGAATGTGCAGACCATGTCCAAAAAAATATTTTCATCAAATGTAATTTGACGGTTTAATACACCCTCTATGAAATTTGAAACTTTGATTATCTTACTTTTGCAATAGAGGTTAAAAACAGTGGAAAATTAGCGTCTAAATATATGTTTATGGGATAAAGTTTTTCATAACTAAAGCTTTCCTTCACTTGTATGAAGTGTTATCTGGCAACTCTTTGTTTTTACTTTATTTTCATCTATCATCTTAAACGTTTCAATGTAAATGGTATGACCACGGATGCACTAACGACTTATATAATTAATTCCGGCATAGTCTTACAAACCTGTACCGACCGCTTTCGACTTCATTCGGGCGCACAGATTATGCACCAAAGTTGCAGCTGTACTTAGCTTAACTTTATCTACTATCTGTGACGGGCTCTGGTTCCTTAGTCAAATGTAAGCAACGCGTTGCTAATAAAAGAGCCGTGGGTTCGATTCCCAACAGGTCAATATGTTTTGATATCAATTTACAATTTTTCCTCGAAAAATTTTTGGACTTTGTGTGAAATTTTTTTTAATATTAAATTATATAAAAAACCGTCCTTATCACGAACCGTGGCCTATAATTTTAAAATCCGTAAATCTAAAGGTCTAGAGTTCCGGGGCAAACAATAGTATATTTACTTGATCTTCTGTGCGTTATTGTACCGAAAAAAAATAATTATTACTGCGGCTTACGAACCCAGAACTTCTCGTGTTTTAGGGGAGGCAACAGGATGTTTAGCTGAGACTTTAATTTTTTGCTCTTCTGTTTCAGCTAAGCTGCTTTATACTGGCTAGTATTGGCTTTACAACCGCGACATTCGGAGGACATGAACAGTAAGTTACACAGTTTATAATTTCCTTCGTTTATTCCAAATTTTCCAGTGTCTCCTATTAGTCACAGCGTGATTATAAAGCCTTCTGGATAAATAAACTAAACTCAAATGAAAACCATAAAAGTCTATCAAAAACAAAAAATAATAATTCGAACCAGTAGTTCCTGAGATTAGCGCGCTCAAATAAACAAACTCTTCACCTTTATATATTAGTATAGATATATAAATAAGGATTCTTTGCGGCTGCTGTAAATCACGCAAAACATTGGGTCATCGCTAATTGTAATAAGTAATTATTACACACGAAATAAAAAAAAATACTTAGGGTTAAAAATGTTTTATTTAGAAGCAACTTTTGTAAGTCAATGTCAATAGTAAACACGATGCGGTTTGTCATAGTGGTATATATTCAATTGTACAAGCCTAGCGACCGCAAACGGTTTCGAGTCGCTTTTCTTTTGCAATTCCCACGCCTCTTGGTGCGGTATAGTGAAATCTTATTGTGCTATATCAAGATTTCACTGGATCACAGCCGTGACCCTGCATGTATTGTTTTAATTTCCCATCGGTTTTTTCTCCTCTCCATCAATATTTCCGCGTAAATAATTATCAATAGGTGTCTGTAATGGATAATGTGTATAGCTAATTCAAATTATGCGAGGACATATTGCGTTTTATCAGTTTCAATGTAGCATTTGACAATTCATGCAAGCGTTTGCGTTTTTGACAATTGACTGATTGCGCGATTTCCAAATGTTCAAAGCTAAAAAATGGGTCGACATCGTATCATGTTTCGTTGCTATATGGCTGGGGTATTTCCCCTACCATCAAGCGAACCACATTACAATTCTTCAAAGAAAACTAATTCCTAATTATTTCTACAACTAAAAGTATCAATATTTCCTTTTTTTTGTCCTTTTTTTTCCTTTCCAACTTCATTTATGGCTGGTAAAGAAATTGGATTCTTTATATAATTGTCTATTTTTACAGCGTCCATATTCGCGTGCATATACCTGACGACCATCACCATGATGACCACAGCCATGGCGGAGGTGGTTACGGAGGCGGCTTTGCTGACCATCTACACGGAGGATTTGTTGAACATTTGAAAGGCGACCACGGCCACGGCGGCGGAGGCGGTTTTGGTGGCGGATTCGGTGGAGGCGACGCCCATGGAGGATACGACCTCGGTGGTCACGGAGGATTCGGAGGAGGTCATGATATCGGAGGTGGTCACGGAGGAGGATTTGGCGGTCATGACATTGGAGGAGGTCACGGGGGAGTATTTGGTGGTCATGACATTGGCGGAGGACACGGCGGAGGATTCGGTGGTCATGACATTGGAGGAGGACACGGCGGAGGATTTGGAGGAGGCCATGATCTAGGTGGGGGTCATGGGGGAGGATATGGAGGTGGTCACGACATAGGTGGGGGATATGGGGGAGGTTTTGGGGGTCACGACATTGGAGGGGGACATGGCGGTGGATTCGGGGGTCATGATATTGGCGGAGGCTTTGGCGGTCATGATATAGGTCATGGAGGCGGTGGTCACGGAGGAAGCTTTGGCGGTCATGACTTAGGTGGGGGACACGGAGGTTTTGGCGGTCATGATATTGGGGGACATGGAGGCGGTTTTGGCGGTGGCCATGATATAGGAGGCCAGGATTTGGCGGTGGCCATGATATGGAGGTGGACATGGGGGTGGGCTTGGAGGTGGACACGGGGGTGGGTTTGGAGGTGGTCATGGAGGTGGCTTCGGTGGTGGCCATGGCGGAGGTTTTGGTGGTGATCACGGTTATGGTGGTGGCCATATAGATATCGGAGGCCATGGTGGCCACGATGACCACAGCGGTGGATTCTCCGGCGGTCACGGTCATGGCCAAGACAGCTACACCCTCGCTTTATCCAGTCACGACAGTCATGGTAGTGGACTAGGTGATTTTGGCGGTCACGACACTTATTCAGGCGGTCATGGCCACGGTAGCTCCGGTGGAAGTTTTGGTGGTCATGACAGTTACAGCCTAGGAGGTGGCCACGGCTTAGATTCCGGTCATGGATCTGATCACGGGTTTGGGGACAGTTACACGAACGCGATAGGCGCTGGCCACGGTGGTGGTCCCTATCATAAGAAGTGAACGTTGCCACCGCAAAACCCCCTAAGTCATAGTTCCCGTTGTCGCGGTGGGGACTAACCAGTATTAAAGTACAACTCTTCCTTAGTGTAAATAAATAGGTATAGGATTAAGTTATTGTTCTGTTTATGTTTGGAAGTAAAATGTTTTCTCTACATTATCGTTTTATTTCAACGCTATTACAACAGACAGACGGCTAAGCGATTTCTTTGTATAGTCATGTTTGTTTATGCGAATTATAAATTAATTAACTAATATTAGATAGTCATAATGAGGACATATGGCTTATCTCATTGTATGTCAGCGAATTTTCTAAAGCATTGCCTCTTCGTATAAATATTTGCTTTAAAAAAATTTTACTTGGTAACTAAACAATTAGTTACTTCTTATTTATAGTGCAGAACGGGGGTACAATGTCAGTCTGCTACAAGGCATACATTTAACTAAAATAATAAGGGCCCTTAAGCATTTATTTTGCTTAAGTGTTGTTACTTACATACATTAAATATAAGTTATGCACTCATACACTGCCGCGTTGCTAAACTTCAAGCGCGAGAGGTCAAACTCCGGAAGGTCATAATAGTTTAGGTCTGGCCGAACACACACAGAAATGTGTATGCCCCATACCCCATATACCAGATATAATAGGGACACAATGAATACTGAGTTTTACTATAGTTAATGGAAAAGTTATTTTGATAAATAAACTTTTAAACTTAGTAATTATAAAACAATTATGCATTCAAACGATTATGAACTACTTTGTCAAATTATATAATAATGATTTTAATAAGACAGCTTTTTACCGCTTTCTATAAAGATAAATAATATTTCAAATTATTCTTAATTAGTATTATTAAGTATTCTTTTCAACCTAACGTAATAAGATATTCCTAACAATCTATATTCTATACTAATATATAAAGCTAAAGAACTTTACGGTACGAATACTTACGAATACTTTTCTCAGGTACTTTACGGTACAAATTGAAAAACTTTTTTTGTGTTGGTTAAAGCATTTTTCGAGGAAGGCTATAGGATATAAAACATCGCTGTTTACGAGCGAAGAAACAGTGAAGTTTCATCACGTTTCGGCTTCAGTCTGTGGGATAACGAACATAGGTCAACAAAGCTAAAATAGGCCGACAACGCAACTTGTTTAGATGTTATATGGCTGGCGTATTTCACCTACCATAAAAAAATGTCCATAAGCAAAATGTTAGTACACTATTTAAAAATTAAATCAGTTCGAGTTAACGCCGTGATGTTACGTAACGTACATTCACGTGTTACGTTCGCGTAAGTTCGCTAAGTCCGAACTTAAGAGCGAATCTTAGCTTCCATTATAATTAATAAGTACTTTTAATTTTTGAGAAGGATAGACAAACATGGGCTCACTTAATGAAAGGTGAAAGGCCCACAATAAGCTACTTTTTTTGAAAAGTCAACAACTGATATGATATTAATATATCATATCGGTTGTTGACTTTATTTTATCAATATTAACTATATTCACGAAACAAAGTCGTTAGGTTTTTATTTAACTTTTGTATAATTACTAACAGACAATGCAAATATAAAAGGACGGTCAACATATCGCGTCTGACTTTTCGGTTACACAGCGTATCGGCTGCCTCGCGAAGCTTTTTTACACAGACTCTACTTCTCTAACAGAAATCAAATCTTGGACATATATAAGTAGAACACGATGAGACAAATTATACTAGGAGTAAATTAACTGCCGCCGTACCGCGAGAAAAAAAATTACACAACCCGTGATTATCTGTGCTTTATGTAATAATTATGTGAAAGTGTATGAGGAAGGTGGCTGGTTCGTCGCCGGCAATTTGATTTTATCTGTGGGTTAACTTTTTCTTAAACGTTTCGCTCTACATCGCATGTGTGTTCCTAGATGTAATAGTTATAATGACCCACAGTTTAAGACGTAAAGTTCAACAGATTATACTAATATATAAAGCTGTTTAGGAAGATAACTAAATTAGTAAAATTGCGATAGTCCTACTTAACCGCAAGATTTAACTTATGTAGTAATTTTATAAAGCTTAAGAAGTTGTTTATTTGAACGCAATAATCCTAATCTACTGGTCCTAATAGATTTTTTTTGTTGTGTTATTTAGATAATTTATCGAGGAAACCTTGGGCTATATAGTGTCACTGCGATCGATAGGATAAGAGCAAAAAAAACGGTAAAAACGGGGAAATTAATTCATTTTTCAGGGCTTACGTTGCGTGTGCTCCGAAAAAATATGTATAAAAAAATGATTCTTCTTTAAATGTTCTGAAAAGAGCGTGTCTATCTTTTAAGACTTTAACACGTAAGAATAGTTTTAATTTTTTCCTTTTTTATTTTTATTTTGGTCGAAAATAATAAACATAATCACTATTATTTTCTAAAATTGTATCAACATAATGATAAAAATCTTGCTAACAACAAATTAAATTTGCTAGATCAGTTAGTTATTAAATGTTTTATCCATTGAGGTTGTGTGAAAAAACAAGATCATATTTTACACTTCACACAAATGTACAACTTATAAGTTAAGCGTTTATAGAATTAGGGTAGGGGGGGGGGGGGGTACCTAGGGATATTTGTTAGTCTTATTATTTTATCAATGCGTGAAGCAAGTTACGCAAAGTTGTACCATGAACTTACTTGGCGAGGTGTTATGTAAGCATTTGCAAAGTGAAGGGCAGTTTTCCTACCACGCTGTTGGTATCACTTCCTTAATTCTGAACTTACATAAACGAGCTTTTAGACGTACAAGCTAATATGTTATGTACTTAAGACACTGACGATTAGGTTGGGAGCTTAATACTTAATTAACGAATAACTTAAACATTAAAATGTCATTTATCACCAAGGGAAGTATTTTTTTACAATGTAACTCTATGTAACCTTATTTGTCAATGACTATATTACCGCATTACACTTACCTGGACCAAAAATATTGATTAATTATATATATATATAATTTAAGTTTCTTTAAAATTGGAAATCGTAATATCGTAATCGTAAATATTTAGCAATGTCGTAAATAGTTAGTTAAGTTTCACCAGGCGTTATAAAAATAGATAATCTTCAGTTCTTTCGTTGTTTCTAACGTAACAGAATAATTTTTGGCACACAAAAAAAATAAAATCTTATATCATTGTATAAGAAATTGAGTTTAGTTTGATCCGACATCTGTCACTAATTTCTCCATTCTTTATTATTATTGTTACTATGAGCCTGATAAAAAAGTAAAGCAAAGTTAAGTTAGCATAAAAATTACCTTACCTTAGACCAGGCGTTGAAATAAAATCCACTGCTTGTTTTCAACGTTTTTACTTACAATATCTAAGAATTCGTATAAAATGCATGAATTCAATAAGTTATTATATTTACAGAAAAATGAATATTTTCACTTTAAATAAGTATCGTTAGTTTTACCAGAGCTAAGATCACCGTGTTTATATCTAAAACTTAAGTTAGTAATAATTTAATTTAATACAACTAGATTTTGTCACCATATTTAAGTTTACCCCTAACCGTTGTCGGGTTGTTGCCCTGGTTATATGCTCTTTGTTGTTCAGCGTAATTCTGTGATGCTTTCCTGAAATCGTTATTTGTCATAACACTATAGTTCTCGTTCATCATAGAGTTCGTATGTTTGTTTGTTTCTCGTAAGCGTTTGCTATCTCGGTGTTCCGATTGGTTGTCTGTTGTATCTGGGCTTTGTTTTGAGTAGGTTGGGGCTTGTGTAGTTGCTACAGTTGTATGGGGAGTGGTGCTTGGAGCTTCGACGTATTGGAAGTTATCATTCGAAGCCTCTGGTAAAGTTATCGGATCTCCTTGCAATTGCTTAGCACTTAGCATAGAGACAAAATCCCGAATGGGCGTGGATGACTTGAAGGAAAAATTCGTTGGTGTCGCTAGATCGCTTGACTGATCGTGATCAAATATACCAAGATTATCTAGAGCTGTTGGAGAGTCGTCATTAATAGCAGGATCGTTTCCCAAATGATCTACGTATGTTATGTGTTCTTTGCCGCCAAAATTTATATTCTGCTTCGATATGGATTTCTTCTTCTCTTTCTGCGATGTCAGTGTTAGGCTCCCACTGTCATTTTTATCTTCGGACGCTAAGGAGTTGTATGCAAAGTTATTGGCGTAATTGTCTTTAAAATTAATGAACGCCTCTTTATATTTGTTTAGGTTCGCCGCTGCGGTGCCGGCGTTAAGAAAATTATTCGGTTTGTAATCATGTACTACTGTGGAAGACACGCTAAAAGGCGAAGATACACCAGATGGCTGAATCCTGAAATCGTTCATTGATTTACCAAATAGTGAAGTCAATTGGGTCCGAGCTTTTGCGTTTCCCTTCTTTAATCCATAGTCAGCGAGTAGTCGAAAATTATTTAATTTCTGTTCGTCGTCTAACCCTTCAAAGCCTGTAGCACTAATCGAAGGTCTAGCATTTTTTTTCAACCGGTTATTATCGGAGTACATACTTTCATAATAGGCCAAATCTGCCGCCGACGCTTTGATGGGCTTTTTGTACTTTGGTAACTTACTTTTTAATTGGTTTAACTGGTTTAATTGATTTAATTGGTTCAATTGGTTTAACTGACTTAATTGGTTTGTAATGGGCAAAGTTGCTATCCTTATGCCTTGGCCATTATATGACGCTTTTGGTGGTAAGCCCATCGGGTCCTTTGTGATATCTATTCCTGAAGGTATTTCGCCGTGATCGTGAAATATGTGATCGTGTGTCACCTCACGTGGGTTGTAAGCTGAATATTCGAAATGCGCTGGTGGTGCCATCGTTCCTATCGCTGCTAATCCACCGAACGGGTTCGTAGGAATGGCTATTATTGCTTGCGCTTTGAAGGGATGGATGGGAGTCGGTCTGGCTATAGTGCTCATACCTGTTATGGGATCTACGCCAACAACGTTCGAATATTTAGAACTGTCATCGTATAACAGTTTGTGTATATGTTCTTCTGTGTACGTGTGGATATGTTCTGTATCGCCGTCAATAATTTTCTCGACCCGCGGGGGTTTCTTCACTTTTCTGATGGTTGAAGAACCGTCTACATCGGAGTAGAATTGTTCGTGGAATGTAGATACAGGATGTTCACCTTCAATGACCGGTGGAGCTGGAGTCGGTCTCCTACGCCCAGGGGCCCTTTTAGGCTTGCTTTTCTTGATAACTTTCTTACGCGGTGGCTCATTCAGTTTTATGATCTTCACCCGCTTCGAATGGTTCGGAGTCGATGGACCCGAATACGCAGAGGGTCCGTAACTATCGCTCGAGTCTGATGGTGAAACTTCGTATTCCTGTTCTTCTACTTCGGTGTGCGTCGGTCCGTAATAGCCTCTGGCGTGGTATAAGGGAAGGAGATGTGAAGCGGCGGCAGAAAGGCCTGGCCGGGCCTGGTGCTCCTCGTAAATGTCCTGGATACCGTTAATTGGAAGTATGTGGGCACTCGGCACCGCCACTGAGCCCTCCGCGCTGGGCATATACGCCGGCGCGTATGGCGAGGACGCAGGGTGGTTCGTTATGTATATCTTTTTGTGATGGTGTATATGCTTCACCTTCTGTGGTAGGTGTATGCGAATTTTTTTTCTGTAACAAGAGAAAATTAGTGATGGTATATAAGGATATATAAGTTCGAGGGTTTGTTGTGCTAATAAATATTCATCGCTACAACATTAAATTAATAAAAACAAAAGCAAAATATAAGATTGAATTGGCGCAAAAGCAGAGGGAAATAAATCTTGTAAGCTTCTAATCTAAATGTTTGAATATCAATAACGTAGCAAGCTTGATTGAAATTTTTCAATACAAAGATTTATTATTTCATATAGTTACTCCCAACCGCTAGCAGAAAGCCTATCCATGATATCCTATAAGACGTTTGAAACCGGGAATAGCTATTATACAACATTATTGAAATGAGTTGCGTCATGCATGGAGTTAATGCGGAAGATTGTTGCGGGCAACGTTCTGCGCGCGTATGCGTGCTTACTAAGCGGTTTCCGTCTTATGTCAATGTACCGATACGGCTTTCCCGACACATACTATTTAAATATATAACCGATTTATACTTGAATAATATACGCTTTCTCTATATTATTCAACTGTCAAACATTTATACATGTAACACTTGTCTACCCCTTTCAAACCTAAATGATATTATATTTTAAAGATAACATTATGATTCTGACATTCAGCTTCTTCAGTTTTCAATTGAGTTCATAGTAAACATTAAAAATTCAAAAGATCGAAATGTGGTGGTAATATTTCATAGTTAATTTATTTATGTCATATGACCATGTGTAAAGTAAAACTTCGTAATCATTTTATTACTAATTCAGTAAGCCACCATACATTTGTTTTATTAATGTATTTACTCAATTTGCACACTGTACAAGTACAGTGGCAGTACAAGTCATAATTTTCGGGACCTGTCTATGTTAATTTAAATAAACAATTGCAATGCCTTCAAAAATTCGCATGGCTGGCTATCATTCATTCGCAAGAGTATTAGAAAGTAATTAAAAAGTCTTACGCCTAAGAGTTATTCAAATGTAACTTACTTAGGTCCATCTGCCTTAATAGAAACAGATGCAACAGCTACAAGAAGGGCGAACTGTAACAAAAGAAAATAAAATTAGGTTACACGTATAAAAAAACAAAACAAAAACCACCATATTGTTTAAAATCTCGCTTAAGTATCAAATGACAAAAGAGATTTTAAATATATTGACGTTTTGTACTTTATTTTGCAATCGAATGAGATTGAATGAGAATTTGTAAATTATCGTTCAATGATAACATTAAGTCCCGTTTTTCCTGCACGAGGCAGATATAAATCTGTGTCCCTATTGAAGAATTAATTTACAGGTAGTTAAATTTGTGTTCTACCTAACATTGTGTTTCCATTCGAACCTAGAACCTCTCGCGCTTTTATTTGATAAAAAAGCAGTGGGAACTTCTTTGTTTTTTTCTAAACTAAATGTTATTGTCCTAATCTTGCTTAAATAATCTGTGCTCGTTGTCACATAAATTGTAATTATACTGGCAGTTAATCAGTTATCTGTGTCCTGTCCGATACTATTTTTAATGTCAAGATTAGAATCCAGGACCTCGCGCACGTAACGTAATGCTATGCAAGGCATAAGGGCATTGAAAACGTGGGTAGTCAATAACCAAATAAGTAATTATTTATAATATAATATTTAAAAAAAATATTGTTTTCAATAATCCACTGTTATACTTAATTATAAATTATATCGTGGAATATGAGAAAAAAAGTGTTGTAAATGTTTATCACAAAATTTCATTTTTCTCGTTCATTCTTTGCATTTTTATATAAATAAAATAATAAGCATAATAAAGTTATGTAAATTTATATCAAAACGGTATATGTATGTATATTTATATGAAAGACTGTGTATGTTTTATTTAGTGTTACGAACGACTACGGACTAAAAAACTTTCGTAAAAAGCCTCGCGTTTTATTTTAAGTACTTTTCTAATTTTTCTATTAAAGCTTTTAATACATTTTCTTTTATCATTTCTCGTAACATGAGAAAAATGTAATGAAAGCTTTAATAATATTTTGTTTGAAAATTAATTGATTTCAGAAGAAAAGCGCATAAGTTGTCGCGGTCGATAGCTATATTTACATCCGTTAATTTTTTTTCTGGAGGGCAATTCTCAGTTAGGTGATAGAAGATATATCCCTATTATATATAAGTTAGCAGATTTTTTGTATTTTGTTGTTTATGTATTTGTTTCTTTTAATTAGTGCAAATCTTATCACTTAGCGGAGAATTCCCATTGTATTTAAATCCATGATCACATCACGTAACAGCTCCCACAGCTGGGATCTAATTGCTTAAACTACTACGCCAAGTGCGGTCCACATCCACCATTCCAAAAGCACATCCCGCCTTATCACTGCACTATCACAACACCATTGTATACCGACCAATTTCCACCAATCCATTGTCGCCGCTCAGTGGGACGATGTACGGAATCACTTTTTCACTCGTTATCGCACCGATGCGCCAGCGCATATAGGTATTGTTTGAGTTACGCATGTTCATTTATAACATTCATTTTCACGCCTGAAAGAGCCTATTCATTCATGCTCACTCCTTCAGTAAGGTCTGCGGATCCATGCAGGAGAAGACATGCAGGAGGTCGCAGGCAGTGATTTTGCGCGCTTTTTTCTACTAGGCGTTTTCAATTTTGACTCAACTTTAAAAAAAACTGTTAAAAACGAATTGAGCTACCGAGTCCTCAACAAGGCAGAGCAACAGCACGGAACGCTGACGATGCCGGTTCAAGTCCTGCCCGAGTCGAAAATTTTTCAATTTATTTTCGATTTTTAAATTATATAGTGCCTTCATGTGCAATAACATTTAAAAAATATTAAAGTATTCTAAATAATATAATTCTTCTTAATTCACTATTACATGTTTAGTATATAAGTAGAGATATAAGTATCGATGTATACAACCATCTATTAAATGTATTATAATTATGTATTAAAATGTCCTTCTGTGTGGATGTTTGATTAAATTAATGAGATATTCTAAAATGTATTTATTAAAGAATTGACTTTGTCTGTTACACTGATCCATTTCTTGTCTAGTAGTTCATCGGAGCGAATGTTTCCTCAGGATTCGAATTCAGGACCACTGCAGTTTGTCAAAAGCAACGAGGTTATAGAACATATTAAATGATCTAAACATTATGGTAACTAAATGCACTCATTCTAGGAATGTTTGAATTATTAATTTTATTCAAATGAATAAGGAATGTTTGTAATATAAACGTTTCTCTAGGTTTTTTTTATAATAACGTAAAATAAGTATTTTCTGTAAGTTACGCAAGTAGTACACATTTCATATACTACATATCTGACAAATCTATGATATGGCCACAGCTAGTTCATTGAAATATCAACGACAATGAAGCAGATGGTGCTACCGTAACAGATACGATTTTAACATTTGAGACCCCCTCCATTTTCAGTCCCCCCGTGACTCAAGCACTTGCAAGCAACGCTGCAAAGAATCCGAAATATCGGGCCATAGTTAAAATGTATTGTAAATAAGTTAACTAATATATTTCGCATATAGAACCGTTAATTATAAATCTTAACTCTACACGGTTTATAACTCCAGTGTACCTACTTTTCTGTTCTACCAATTCAGGCATTAGTAGCTCAATCGGGTTTTGTGTGTGAACAAAACGTAATATTATATGTTTCATTTACATAATAATCGTTTTTATAAACTGTAGATAATATTACTAAATAATGGACCGAAAAAAAATTACAATTAACGTCAGTTACTTTTCGAAGTCAGATAATGGTGAAATACCGTGTCCCCGTAACGGTAAAAGGACTGACAAATTTAAGTATCCGAAAAATAAACTGATTTATTAGTCGAGTAGTGGTAGCACTTTGCAACTGAGATTATAATTTATTTCAGGAATTTAAAACCTGGACCATTGGCGTATAACGTACTGAAAGCTAATACGACACCACCGATACGAATTGTATTTCAAATAATTAATAATTAAAGGTTAAAATGTCATTATCACAACGAAGGGTAGAATAATTATAACTTAATCTTAGTCCCTTTATTTTTCATTTATTTCTTTAACTTATTTTGCCATATGAAGTACTAGATGTTAACCACGACGTCGTATGCATTGTTAATGCAAGTTAATCTTGAAATATAGACATATATGTTTGAATAATTGAAAGAAATATAAGCCTTTGATGTATATTCTTGAACCGTTATCGCAGCGCACGTAACGGAAGACTTCAAAGTTAAATATTCCCTTTTTTCTTTCTTTCTCCTATTAGTCTATAGAGCCTATCGCGATAAATGGTATATCCAACATCAAAAACATCAGTTCGAAACAATAGTCCCTGAGATTAGCGCTCAACTTTATAATCTAATTTAAAAATCTATTATAAATTAAAAAATCGCGATACGGTCAGGACTTGAGCCGGCATTCACGGCATTCCGTGCTGTTGCTCTAACCAATTAACCTACCGTGTCCTTGTCGAATTTTTTCAACCTATTAATAAAAGCACCTCTCGCGCAAATTTATGATATTAGTATAGTGATGTCGTTGCATAATTTCTTCAAGGATCTCTTTCCTAAGTCCAAATTACATACACAAATCCAATAGTTTCCCTTTGATCTCGTCCAGGGGTAATTTAAACATCAATCAAAGATTAGAGGTGGAACTGGCCTCCAATTTTTAACGAGCCATTAATGATAGGTACGTAGTTGTTGAGTTTATTAGACGGCATCTAAATATGATTAATGTGATAAAGAATGAGACGTGGTTCGGTAAATAGCATCGCATGAGCATGGTCACGCGATACAAAAGCATCCGCATTTATGCCGCTAGGGTTGCCAGAAAAATTAATAAACAATAACATTGCAATTGAACACTTTGAACGGTTTAAAACGCGTAGTTTATCAGATAACTATAATTTCAACCCGATGTTTCGAATGTAGCAACTTTATTAAAATATGTAAATTAAAAATTGAAAAGATACAAAAAGACTAAATTTTCAATTTATTTCAAGAATTATATAAATTAATTACTATTAAATTACTGGCCGTAGTTTACGCGAACAGTGCACGTTTAAAAAACATTATAATCGTTTACAATGCCAAATATGTCGTAAGTTCTAGAAGTAGGTAACTACGACGGAGTAGGTGGCGCTAGCGTAGTAATTTTACTTTGACATTAGAGACACCCTCCATCTTTAGGCTCCTCGTGACAACGGCTGATGCATCCGAAATGTAGAGGCGTAGTTCAAATGATTTTTGAATAAGTTTAACCAATATATATTGCGCTTTGAACACTTAAAGTGTTTTATTTAAATGTGTACTACTTGCGTAAACTACCGACAGTGTTTTTACTATGAACCTGATTAAAAAATCATTAAAACTGCAGGTTTTTATTTTTTAAATCATCGACAACCATAGAGAACGATCACGTAATAACAGCAATAGACAATCTGTTACCGAGGAAATCGAAACGCGTAACATTTGGTATGTGTTACTCTATTAATCTTTATTTATGAAAATATTATAGGATTTTATCGGGTGACTTAAGGTTATCTTGTTCAATATGTTCCAGAAGACCATTATACTCATTTGGGGTATGGGGCATACATCGTGTGGGCGTTGGCGGCATAAGGAGACCCTGGCTATTCGCAATAATTAATTTATTTTTTATTTAATATAGAAGAGGATAGACAAGCTTGGGGTTAGCTGGATGGAAGATGAAACACCACAACAAAAGAACATCTAAGCAAGATGTGCTGTCGGCCTAATTTAGCTTTATATATTAAGTAATCGACTGACTGAAACCGATTAAACTTCCGGATTAAAAACCCGGACGGAACTTCTATATTTCGACTACTCAATTAATGTCCAGACAAAATCCAAAATGTTTTGAAAGAAATATAAAATTAATTAGAAAAATGTTGAACCTGGTGGGAATCGAACCCCTGATCCGTTTAGCCATACTACAGACTACCATTAGACCAATGACCCTGACAAATGACCTTCTCCCAAACGTGCTTGGATATTTAAGCATTATTTTGACAAGCTTCTTAGAGATAAATCGAACGAATTGAACTGGTCCAGCACCGGTCAGCAATAGTTATATGAAAATTCACATACGTCGTGTTTAGTGCCCAAATAACTTCTAAATACTATGTAAAATCGTTATTGTCGTGTAATTTAAAAATAGAACTATATTGTACTTCGCAACATGGCGACCAAAAAAGGTATTACAGGTTTAATTTAAATTTAGAATTGGCTTGCACATAAAAAAGTGGTTTGTGAAAAAACAAATACTTTGGCGCGTAAAGAAATAAACTTTGCAACAAGAAGTAAAACCAAAAACAGTTTTATGAATAGGAAAATGAACGAAAAATGGTACTCTCATTATATGTATATTAATTTTCAATATTTTCCCCCAACACTAATGCATACTCCGTGCCTAAACCAATAGAAATAGTTACATAAGCAGCGTATTTCCGAATATGCACTACCGATGCGCTTGCACAACTTCCGACCGGATGTCCATCGGCGTAACACAATACAGTGTAATATTCGTTTTATAACACACTGAAACATTTGGGTTTTTTGCACTTACAATTATTTTATGACAGAGGACGATGGACTATTATAGCGTTCACATGATAGGACATAATGACGGGACAGAGGAGGCATGAGGGCCACTTTATAGAAAGTGAAATGCTAAATTATATCTTAACAGGATACGCGGTAGACCTATATCTGTTATATACCTATATCTGTATGTCCTATGTATGTGTTGGTTATATTAGTAATTCAATTCACAGACTAATACCGAAACGTGATTAAGCTTTTTTCAACTTTAAGGCTTTTGTATTTGTTGTCAAAACAGAATTCTTCATCTTGAACTCAGGTTTATTGTTTCACGAGAAAAATGTGACATTTTGTTTAAATTTTAAATTTATTTTTAAAACATCTTGGAAGTTGTGGCGATAGAAACCAACCCGTGAATTATAACACATATAATAAAATACTATTTCCCCTCGGGGGCATGGCGTGAACACATTTTTGTGTCCGTTTCACTGATTTAACCATATGGCTATAAAGGCACTTGATTCTAACATCTACTACCTTACTATACCAGCTAGTAGTATTAGTAGTTACATAACACCATAGATGCCCGTCAATCAGGCTGATAATAACTATACAAAACATTCGCACACAAATACATCATATTCGTTACGTTTCTTACTTTCTACCATTATTTCTATATCATTACTCAAACTACATTGTTAACACTAAATGATATATCATTTAGTTCCGTTACATTTATAAGACTTGTAATAGTTTCTGATTGACATTAAAAGATGAATGGCTTATTACTTCCGCCTCGCGGTTCTGCCCGTGTTTTATTATCAAC